CCATCACTGATGCTAGCAATGGCCATACTTCCCTTAGGACAGATTCGAACTGTCTGAGACTGGCTGGAGGAGGTAAATGTGTATAGACAGCTGTGGGAGGTAAATGTGTATAGACAGCTGTGGGAGGAGGTAAATGTGTATAGTTTGAGGGCATTTGAAAGATTTAAAATTTACATTAAGATTAATATATGGTGAACATTTCATGCGAAGAATGCCTTCACTCTTCAGGTACTCTCTAATGATGTTGGCTCAGTGGGCATGGGCATTATGATCTATAAGGTGAAAATAGGTCCAACCGCTGCAGCGAGTCACAGAATGGTGCGTCAGACTTCATTCCGATACCGCGCCGCCGTCACAGAAGATGTGCAGCTGGGTGCGATATCCCACGAAATTCCAACCGACACCATGATGTTGTTACCTCTAAATGCGTAATGTTCGATGATGTTCTGGGCCTGATTTCGTATGCTTCGTTCTCACCTAACCATTACATGTTTATCATTTGATTCCAAGGCAAATTTGGACTCGATGCGCCAGTCTTAGACAGTTCAACTGAGATGTTGACGACACCACTTTAATCTCGTCGCTCTGAATTGGGTGGTTCGTGGAACACAAAATCTTATTATTTGGGCATAATATATTCCCTTCGGCTCACAGTATTAAAATATATTTTGGCCCATATCCAGATTATTTTCTGAATAGGATCCTCTCTAACAGCGACAACTGCGTCTGCAGAGTTAAATGAGAGGTGAACTATTGCCTATTCTTCTGCCCTCTTACAAGTGACTTGTACATCCAAGAAACTACCATAAGTCCATTTAACTTCAAAGAGTAAGGACCAGGCTACACACCAATAATTCATTCCAAGCAACACCAACAATCTCCATAAATCTATCCTTCAAAGCACTAAACGTACAGAACTGATCCCATCAATCTTATTTAGTAACTTTGGAGTGAAAGATCTGAGTCTCAGTACGGTATTGGTTTGTAACAAATATCCGGCCCACTAGCGGCCGAGCGGTAAAGTCGCTGAACTTTGATAGTTCAGTCCGAAGTTCGAATCCTGCGAACGGGCTGGCTGCATGGGCGTTTTCGTGGTTTTCCCCATGTGTAACGTGGATACGAGCCAGTTCCTCTTAGAAAGTCCTCCACGAAGGCATCCCTCCCCTTAGGCAGATAGCCCTCGAGGCTTTGCCATAATCACACACACACAGTACAAATATCCTCACGTAACAGGAACTAGACATTCGTAACAAGAGCATATTAGTGAAATCAAACCCCATATGCTTATCTACTTACATTAAAATGTAAAACATCCAGTGCAACTATGTCCAAAGTATCAACTCTATTGTATTTACGTAATCCAATATTGTAATGAGTATACTCAATAGTTTGTGTTTTTGTAGCTTTGCCTAATTCTTAACTCAAAGGGCTTTAGCCCAGAAGGGCTATTAATTTCGTTTTAGCATTTCGCATTGAAAACTTTAAATGTCGGTTCACTTTCCAAATTGTTGCCACCAAATATTACAGCCCTGTATTATATTTAAAGGAATTAAATAATGAAGAATCTGCATAAATATATGTATGTTTCTCACATTGTGATAAAATGACGGTACCTAGAGCCATCAAATTTTGAATAACGTACGTCTCCACCCGAATATGGGCACCTGAAAGCCCAAATTTGGAATTTGTTTTATTATCTATTTCATATTTTGTAAAACTTTAACGACTTTTTTATTAACAAATTCAACGATTTCACGATTTCAAAGCGAGCAATGGCAACATCGTACTGGGGGGGGGGAATTATCTCCAGTGCGCGAGACTGTGCATCGGAAATTCTAAAGATATGCTCATTTTAAAATTATTTTGCGATATTGCTGTTGAACAGAATTTTATGGTATAAGTGAGAAGAATATGATATTTAATAAATAAAAGCAACCCACAAAACGTTAAAAACATGTCCCTTTGGACGTAATATATAAAATCTGAAAGCTTTCAGAATTTTTTTATTTAATTATATGTTAATATCCTCTTACTTCTAAATGTAACTACTCCAATGCATAACTCCAGTGTTTCGTAGGAGAAAGGACAGTCAATTCCAATCTTTATTTCATAAATTTTATTCCCCTTCTCCCACTTTGGAGCAGCCACATGCCCGCGGTTGAATTTCATCCAACATCCATCCCGCCCTGAAACTTATGCGACTTAAGTGTCAAACTCTACGGGTTAATGTACAGGGACAACACCCTTTCGGTTCTGTAGTGACTTCTTTGGTGCCCCATAAGCTTTTACCTGTCTACCTTACTAAATGACTCTGCAGTCATGGATGTAACAATTAGGGATTCCGCTTGGCTATTATAGTTATATACTTCTTCAGAAGAGAAGTTAACCCTTGGTCGCTTGGCCACAAGTGTGTTTGACTTAATTGAAATTGCTTGCGCAGTCGCAAAATTACCGAATAATCAGTGCCAATGAAGAGAGTGACATCTTGATTAATTGTCCTGCTTCAAATACGCCCCCAAAGCGCTCACTATCTGCAGTTCGTCTTCTACCAGCCATAGAAACAAGAATTTCATCAAGAATCAAACTACAAAAATTACAAATAATTCGTATTAGCATTAAAAGGAACCTCCTCAAATCTTTCAGAATGTTGGCATCTTAAAGACTGTCATAATTAACATATGTGCGGCCACTCAATTTTAATTCACTGTAGCATACAATATTTGCACACTACCATCTGTATCCGCATTGATTTTCATTTCATTAAGAACAGTCTGGTTTCATCTTTTAGTTTAAAAGTGCTATATAGGTCTTTTGTGACAGCCGTATAATTTCTGCATTGAAAAGAAATTGTTAATGTTAATACCCATTTTTTTTTCCCATGAAACTTAAGTCGGAAGTTCAATAGGCAAACTTTATTTTCGAATGTTTACTCAAATCTTCAAGCACTTCGTTTGATCATAAGCTCTTAGAATATCGCTTTTAAAGAACATCGATTTTTTTTTATGGTTGTTGGTCTTGTAGTTTTACATGGTTAACTTTTAACTGAGAGGTTCTTGTTAACGTATATGCACTGCCCTCACCATTACTAGCGACAGGGACACTAATTGCGGAACCGAAGTTGTAACAACAGATAATGATTACAGGAATTTTTTTAAAGTTATTTTGTATGAGCACAAAATGCTGGCAGTTTATTATGATGAAAGATTACCTTTTGCTATAATATTTTAATTATATTTTTCATAATGAAATTAAAACTAAATCGTGTTTTTGTTTGAAAAATCGCACTCGGAGTCCTGGTCATTAACCATCAAATTCCCTAAAATTGACAGACCGGAGTTTAAGAGCTGCATTGCTGATCTACAAGATGTAAGATATCTTGTTCTCTTCCTGTATTTCAGGAAAATTATATCAAGAGGAAAAAAATTATTTACCTTAAATGAGGACGATTCAATCAACAAACAGAAAGGACTTACTCGGAACCACATCCACCTGCGATAGTACAAAAATCCATTCGGTGAGAAAAGATTGTGAGAAAATGCGTACTTAACCCTTAGAGTGATGTCGTTGTGTACTTAACAACTATGCCTTTGATAAACTAATCCCGCTGCAATTATAGATAATACAATAGCAACAATCGTATTATCAGTAATCAAGCCACTTATTGTAACGTCTTTCACTTTCTTATTAATTACATAAGAAAAATAATATTTGTAAACACTCTGTGAAAAAGAGAAAAATGATAATGAAATAATAAAATGACGATGACTCGATTCTCATCATATGCGGTAAGAAATTTTTCTCATAAACAATTTGAAATACAAACAATTGTTGTTTGCTTCACAGGTTCGGATTATGTTATTACGTAAGGTATGATAATATGAAGAATATGAGAAAATAACGAAGTGTTTAAACATTAGTATATTTAGTATACTAATTAATAACAATAGTATTAGTAAACATTAGTATACTAGAAACAAATGACAAAATGTTCTGGGAAGTTATATTTAGTTTTAATGCCAAAAATTGTAGCAGCCTTTTGAATACAGTCTTTTGTATCCTAGTTCTAAATTTGGTCAAAGATTTCTATGTCCCTTTTTAATGAATTTCTACCTCATTATCTGATTTCAGTATTTCTCTTCTTATCACACTTTAATATACACTGCCTTTGCACTTAACGACTCTCTTTTAAACTTGATCATATTCATTTATTCATTTATTTATTTATTTATTCATAGGAGAGAGGTCCGTTTATCTTCAATTTTCTTACAAAGCAAATTTATAATAAATTTATGTAGCAATGGGTTAATGTATTTCTTTCATGTGCTTTTGTGAAGAAGCGGATAACAGGTTGATAAAGAGTTTGCTCAGATTCCGAGCACGACCACAAGAGGAGCACACTCTAATTTCCTACGATACCTAGCTTCAAGTTCATTTATTGCAATACAGATGGCGTCCGACTTAAAAATGGCGCCTCTTCAGCAAACTGAGATTGGTTGATTAGGATTTTTCCGACTTCTTCTCAATCATCTTATAGGATAAGAAATGTAAGTCATTAAGCATTTCCTGCGTATGCTCTTTGGTGTAATTGAGAGTATATCAATCTGGGAATTCGAAAGTCTGTATTATTACGAGTATGGACAAGGACATGATCTACTTAACTATTACGCCTCGCTCCAAGCTCATTTTGTTTATTAATTTAACATTAAAAGCTACTAAGATAAAGAATGAAAAAGGGCAACATTTATCATTTCGTAATGATGAATATTAATTAAGAAGTATATAACATATGCTGCTCTATCCACTTTACCATTTTATAACTAAAATTATTATTTTTAACATTTGTATGATGTAACTGATATATTTAATGTAAGTTATAGATAGTATATGTACGCATATATATAATGTATGTATGTAGATATATATATATAACTTGTTATTATACCTGTTTAGTATAAATATCCTTATTATCCGTTTGTTATAAACATTCTTATCGATTTCAGCTTACTGGAAAAGCACAAGAACAACAACCGATTCAGTATCAACTGCCGAGATGCCATTGGTAGAACTGCACTGGTGGTGGCCATCGAGAATGAGAACATGGAGCTCATTGAACTCCTTCTCGCGAATGGGATTGAACCAGGGGATGCTCTTTTGCACGCAATTAGTGAAGAGTACGTTGAAGCTGTGGAGGTACTTTTGCAGCACGAAGAAAAGATCTACGTATCAGGAAGACCTTACGTAAGTAACATTCATAGAAGCACACCACATAAGACTCTGGACAAATCATTTGCTGTTATCTCTCCCCTTATCATCAACAAAAAGGAAATTTGGTTATTATGATGTCAACTAACCAAGCGTGCAAAACTATAGTGCGTTGTTTAATGATTCATGTGTCACAGTAAGTTTGCATATGAATGAAGTTCCCATACTCAGGTAATGTTAGGAAGCAGAGGCGCCGAGAAATCTTGCCGCACCCAGGACTTTAAAAATGCTGTTCAGTGAAAGGATTATAGTTAAATCAGTCCATTCGTATGAATCAAAGTTAAATTCAACTTGAGATAAGCTTTAATCTTAAACAATTACAGCTTATCTCAAGTTAACCAATTATTTTGTGTAACTATCCACGCAAATCACAGGTTTTTGTAGTTCACTACATTCATCCTGATTTTGCTTTTCTCTGAAGAAATGAACTAAAGACGTTGAACTAATTCAATAATTTAGTTTAGAAAATACTCTTTTCTGTTCAAAGTCCGATTTTATACAGAAATAGTTATTTTATCTCGATAAATATACATTTAATAATTTTATATAATGTCGGAATTTACAACTTTTGCATAAAATACATTATAAGTTCAAATAAAACAAGTCCCTGTTCAAGTTTTTTGTTATGAATAGTATCTGAAAATGGAATAAAAAGGAATGTTGGTTCCCTGTTTGTTGCCTAAATTTTCTATATATATATGAATTAATATTTGTCATTTTTTACACTAAAATCTTATTGTCTCAGTCATTAAAACTTTTCGTTATTGTAGAAATGATTTCCTTTTGAATTAGCCCGTGGGGATTTATTTAATTTACTTAACAGTTAATTTCATTTTGAAGCAACCTTTCCTATCGATCTTGCTTTCAACTCCCGCTTTCTTGCTAGAAGGTAAATGAGTTAGCGTGCGTGTATTCAAATGAGGTAGAAAGAAGTTCGTATTTAAAGGAAGGTTTTGGAAGGTGAATTTAGAGCCTTTTCTGCCTGCCTGAAGATCACATTGTTATCTTTGATTTACTAGCGATTAGATTTCTGTGGCTTTGAGAGCTTCTCGCCATTCAGCTTGTTTACGCCGACTCTTACGAATCAGAGCGAGCCTACACCTTAAACATGTGAAGCCATTAAGCTAATCTTAACTCCATTTCATTTTAAGTTCCTCGTTAGCTTTTGAATTGAGGCAAAAAATTTGGATTTTGTAAGCAAGAGTCGGTGCTATCTGCAAACATTAATTTAATTTAAGAAAGGGTTCTTTACAGCCTTCTCTGAGCTTTGCCATACTTAGGGATAATTCCCTACATAGTTTTTTAACGTCTAGTTAGTTTATGCTACCTAAGAATACGAGACGTTATAATCCAAACGTTATATTTTTTAATGGAATATAAGTTTTACTTTTCATCTAGATCAGTCCAAAAATATGCCAGAAGAAATACAATGAAATTTGGCAAAACATTTAGTAATTCCCGTGTTGCAGATAATTATAGTAAATTAATACTGAAGAGATAATCTAATGGGAGAGGTAATGACAAACAAAGAAGTATGATTAGCTTTGAAATGATGAGCAGTATGCATAATGTCTTTCCCCGACGATGATTAAATTGCTAATTAAACTTCCTGGAATACACAGCATCATCAGGCATTTGACTAGCAGATAAATTTTCAGCACATTGTCCAGCAGGTAAAGTGTCTGCTTGCTGGAACCTCATCGAAGTTCAGAGATACTAGACAAACGGTAATTCTGCACTGCACATAAAAACATGTTTACTAACTTAAAGTACATTCTCACAATAACAATGTAAGTAAATTTACAGATGATAGCAAGAGGTAAAGTATGGCAAAGCACTGAGCAAGAAGCAAAGTACTGATAGAAAATAAAATCCAAGCAGAACCAAGAAGAAATCAGTTTAAAAGGACTGAAATGTAGACGCATCATTTGTCTAGGTAACATGTTTATTTGATTAATGCTTCAGAGTCACATGTTAATGTATGATAAACAAGTTAATTATCACAGATTAATGTATAATTTCAGGATAAAGTGTGCGCAAGAGAAGCCATTTCAAATGGGAAATGGTGATACATTAATAACTTCCGTAGTCACCAGGCTGTTGACTGCAAGCATGCAAACGCGAATGCACTGGGCTGTTACGTAGAGGTGCCGTATGTCATTTTGTGGGATGAAGTCCATGCATGTTGCACTTGGTCAGTCAAACCAGCAACGGTCCGTGCTGGTTGTGGATAACCCTGGATATGTCGTTCACTCATATCCAGTACGTATTTAGTGGAAGAAAATTCGGGCGATCTCGCAAGTGAGTGCAACAGGTCGACACTCGCAAAGCACGTTGGGTGACGTAGCGATATAGGGACGAGCATTATCCTACTGGAAAATGTCACTTGAAATATTGTTCAAAAGTAGCAGCAGAACCGGTGCAATCACCAGTCTGACATATAAATTTTCTGTGAAGGTCTGTAGGATAACGATGAGGTGCTTCTGCTGTCATAAGAAATTGCTCCCCAGACTTAACCATCTGGTGTAAGTCCAACGTGTCTACAGCTTGGATCCAACTCACCTGGCCTTATTCTAATCAACAGACTGTCATCACTTGGCACGAAGACAGAAAGGAATTTCATATGAAAACACAGAAGATCTTCACTCCGCCCTCTAATGTGCTCTAGCTTGACACGACCGAAGTTGCAGATGGCAGTGATTTGAGTTAGTGGTATGGCCTACATGTAATCGATTTGTTACAGTTCATTGTGTGACTCTGGTGCCAAAGAAAGCTCAAATATCTGCTTCAGATGCAGTGCGATGCATTACAGACGTCGGGGAATGCGGCAGTCTTCACATTGAGTTGTGGCACATGTGCTGCCAGACCCTAGTCTTCTTTAGACAGTACCTTACTGTGAGCGGTATTCCAACACAGTGGATACATTCTTGACAAGTCTTTGTGCAATATCGCGAAAAGAAAATCCACTTTCTAGCAACCTTACAATGCGGCCTCGTTCATACTAAGTAAAGCTGTTAATACTGTCTACTTCTTCTTAGTCTTCTTCTCCTTAAAGGATTCTTGAATCAAATCTACCTCAATACTGGGATCTTAAAGTATTCATGACTCAGTTTTTGACTCAAAATGCCCAGGCTGGAAGATAAATAAAGCATGCGAAGTTTGTATTCCATGTTTAAAGCAAACGTGATTTGCATGTTTATAGTGACACTACTGTCGCCACAATTATTTGTCTAGCGCGAAGTCTGAATAGATGCCATCTTTCAGATATACAAAACGCCTTTTCGCAAATTTCGTTTATCTAGCACAACTTCTTGATGCTGGGATTTCATTTCCATCAGTGCATGTTCTTAAGTCAAAGATTAAGAGTTCAGAAAAAGAGTAAATATGTTTCCCATTACAGTCGTATTTGCATTTTTATATAATTGTAGAGTGATAAAATTATAAAAGATTTATAAACATCACATTTTTATTAAGAGCATTTTGAAGTAAATTTATGTTTATTTAATACAGCAGTGCATTCGAGTATTATCAGCCTGAGCCTATAGATGCCTTTGTAAAAAACTTTTTAAAGAGCAGTACACAGATATCTTGATATTCTGATACCAGTGGCAGCTATGAATAGTAGTTTAGTAAATTAATAAGTGCACATTAATAAATTCAAATAGTGGTCTTCAGAAAGGATTTCAGCCCTTGGTTGGTCTTGTCCTTCTTAACGACGAACCTCTCGTGTGTTAAAAAATTGCCTTCATAATCCTGAAATTGTATTTGGGGGGTATGTAATCAAAGATATAAATCATCGGACTAGGATTCACCGACTTCCAGTTAGATAATTATCTTTTGCTGTTATGATTCATTTAAATGTCGTCTTTTAGATTTTTTTAACAATAATTGAACATTCAAAAATAATATAACTAGCTTCAGTAAGGTGAATTTAACAGGCATCTTACTTAAATACATTTTTTTACTTGTTTCTCTGCTCATAAATGCTGTTGCTGCGGTTGTATTCTTTCTCTGATACTCTTAAACTTGCACATAAATGCACTTTTGCTGAAGGTTTAATTTCTGAAGTTTGAGTTTAGTTCCATTATATTAATTATTCTTTAATTTTGCATACTTATGTGAAATTAATGTCTCATTTGAATGCCTAAGATATTTTTCACTTCAAAGTTTAAATTATTACTGAAATTTCTATGCGAAGTTGCTTTGGAAAGAAATAAACAATAATCTAAGTCTGCGCAGATGAGAATTTGAAACGAGGTGAAATTAAATCATTTTACAAATCAAATAAATGCAAATTATAATATGTGTGGTCGCCGACTAAACCAAAGCAAATGTAATTTTCTCAGAGCTATTAACAAATGCTGTTATTTTCGGAGAATAAAAGCTGAGAAATCTTATCCACTCTTTCGTGACAGAAATTAACGTTAAAAATTAGCATGCCCATCCTAATACTCTAAATTCTGTCTAAAGAAACTGAAAGAAATACATAATTAAATAGGGTGAAGTAGGTAATTATCTTTAATCCTGGATAAAATTCGTTAATGTTATTCTGTGACAGAAGTATTAGCAGCGAGAGTTTCAGGCGATGTAAGATGATTATTCTACTCGGAGTTAGAGACAATATATAGAGAGAAAGTAACGATTGTGCTTCCCTATGCTTAACCACTGAATTACATTAGAAGAAATACAGTCTGTGGGGAGGAGAAATACTTAAAACAGATGAGCTTCTAAGCTGATCAAAATAAACGGATTCGTATAAAATTATTCTTCACTCAAAAGTATTTATTTAAATGTTGTCTTTGAAATTACAAAACAAATATTAGATCTGACGTCTTGAAATATTCCTTTTGGATTATTTAATTTGCAGTATAAATAATCGCGCTAAAGCATTGTGAAACGCGGTTTTAAATTTTTCTGACACGAAAATCCCTTAAAAAATTACGCAAAATTTTCTGCCTAGTAAAAAACACAAGAAAAGCGACCTTTAAATATTTATGGATATATTTTAATAATATTATAACCTCGTAGCTAAGTAATTGTTTTTATTGACTCAATGCTAAGTGCACAGTACTAATTGATTACATTTGGCATTTCAAATGAATGATTACAAATACTTTCTTCTTAACAGAGCTGGGAGGCCGTGGACAATGAAATGGCAACTTTCACAAAAGATATCACTCCTCTTATCTTAGCTGCTCATCGAGACAACTATGAGATAATCAAGCTCCTTCTAGACAGAGGTGCTTCCTTGCCTATGCCTCACAATGTCCGATGTGGCTGCGATGAATGTGTGGTTGCCACGAAAGACGACTGCTTACGACATTCAAGGTCTCGTATCAACGCATACAGAGCACTCACATCGCCTTCACTCATCTGTTTATCATCAGCAGACCCTATTCAAACAGCCTTCAATCTCAGCACCGAGCTAGCAAGACTATCTTCTGCTGAGCACGAGTTCAAGAGCGACTATACTGTAAGTCTGATATCTGCTACAAAATTACCTTACCAATTTTAAGGCAAACAGATCGCTTTAGTAAGATAATCTAAACAGCTTCTTTCAAAGAGTAAGATTTCGTAATATGTGTTTTAAGTAATTTCGCTAGCGCTTATATTTTTAATGCTTTCTGCTCTGCAGCTGCAGTAACACGTATAGATAGAGATCAGTAACTTTACTTACCTTTATCTTGTGTAAGTATGACAGCTTCCCTCTAATTACGGTTTTAGAATTAATGGCTGAACAACCACATAATTTTAACTCTATTCCGATTTTTTCCGTTAAGGTGGGACAGGCTGGCTACATGGATGCTTATATGATTTTCCGATTGTATAACTTAAACTTCAGTCAATTTTCCTTAGTTAATGGGTTAGCAGGAGTGAGTGCAATAGCAGACTGGGAGACTGAGAGCTCAGCGAGTGCGTAGAAAACCTTAACAAACCTTTTTGGGCTGCCGTTAAAATCTGAGCTATTTCAAGTTGAATTTTATTTTATTTATTTATTTTTTAACTTGAAAGTAAGAATCTGTTTTTCCTTTAATTCTTGTAAAACTACTTTACTCTTGTAAAATTTTTTCTTTTGAGATATACAAGAGGAAAATGCTATACAAATGATGTTCTATTAACACGATGCACAGGCAAAGGATATCCATATATCAACAAAATCAATATTTCCTCACCACATGGCAAACCATAAACTTATTAATTATAAAATAAACGTAATTTTCATTTCATTTAAGAAAATTGTGATATTCTTTGCTTACGTTTTCTTGCCTGAGACTGAAAGCCATCAAAACTAAAAGACTAGAGCTACTGAAACAGGTTCACGTATTCAACGTAAAATTTTTGGATAAATTCAATGTTTTGCAAAGCTTTTCCCTTACGTAGTGGAGCCCACCACCGGCCGAGCGGTAAAGTCTCTGAACACTGGTAGTTCGGTCCGAGGTTCGAATCCCGCGAACGAGCTGGCTGCATGGGCGTTTTCGTGGTTTTCCCCATGTGTAACGTGTATACGAGTCAGTTTCCCTTAGAAAGTCCTCCACGAAGGCATTCCCCTCTTGGCAGATAGCCCTAGTGTGCTTTGCTGTAATCTCAATAAACCAAACCAAACCTTAGAAAACCCTCTGCATAATATATCTTCTTAAGCAAACAGCTATCGCGCGCTTTGTCGCGATTCAGTAACCAAACAGCCAGCAGCTCTTAAGAAACTTAATGCATCAAAAACATAAATATTCTTAATAATTCAATAAATTCTTCATTTCCAAACACAAGCGCTGATCCGGTGGGAGATAGTTTAAGATTTAAATACAGATTTGAAATTTTTGTGCACTAGCGTTGCGTTTTTTTACTTAGATGCAATAGTTAATTTTTAAGCAATAATCCTTCTTCCATGAGCTTATTTATTTTAAAATTCTACATAGACAGTGGTGGCCAAAATTGTGGACACTTTTGGAAATTTTTATGTTTTTGAACTTTCTATGCTTATAGAAAACCTTACGTTTCACAAAATGCAAACTTGTATATATCATTTTAAAGAGAATTTATTACTGAATTCAATACAAAACACAAAATTCAATTATTTGCAATACAAAAAAGTTAAACGATAATAGTTATCGATATACATTAGATAGTGATGATTGTAGTGAGTTATCAGTACTTAGTAGGCTACCCTTTATTTTTGATTACAGCTTCACATCGACGTTTCATTGAGCGGACGAGAGTTTTAAGCTCTTCTTTCGTTATTACATGATGCCAGGAAACAATTATAGCCTCAATTAGTTCCCTTTTATTTGATGGGCGCCTCATTCGGACAAGAGTTTTCAAACGGTGCCACAAATTTTCGATAGGATTGAGGTCAGGACTGTTTTCTGGCCATGACGACAATTTAATGCTCTTTGTACGAAACCACTCTTTCGAAATTTTGGCCGTGTGGCAAGGAGCAGAATCCTGCTGAAAAATAAACGAAGCATTGTTGGGAAAGAGATCTCTGATGGAAGGTAGAAGTTTTGGTTCTAGAATAGTGTCAATGTATTTTCTGGCATTCAGTGTCCCATCGATGACATGAAGGTGACCAATACCATCTGCTGACATGCATGACCAAATCATAACACTAACTGGGTTCTTCACAGTTGTTTGAATGCAGTCAGGATGTAGCTCTTCTCCTATTCTACGTCTCACATATTTTCGCCCATCACTACCGAATAACAATATCTTAGTTTCATCACTCCATATAACTTGTGACCACTGATCATCTGTCCAATTAATGTGTTTCTTTGCCCACTGTAGTCTTTTTTTTTTTTTTTTTTTCGTTGCTGAAAATTAAGATAAGGCTTTTTTAGTGGAATTTTACCTCTCAGTCCAACATCTGTTAATCTTCTCCTGATTGTTCTTGAACTGACAGAAACACCAGCATCATTCAGATCACTTCTGATGGCCGCTGATGACATTTTTCTATCTTGGAAACATAGTCTTTTTATTCTTCTGTCATCAATAGATGCGGTGCACCTTTTTTGGCCTTTTCCTTCTTTGTTTTCGATTGAATTTGTCTCCTGATATCGTAAACAAAACTTTCGGACTCCAGATGTAGTCACTGAACCACCCACCTGTCTTGCAATTTCAGCATAGGAAAGAACACTTTCTCGTAACATAGTAATATTACATCTCTTTCTAGGTGTCCAATCTACTCTTTTATTTGATGTCATTGCTTCTTGACTAAATATTAAAAATTTTTACAAAAATTCCTACTTGTAATTGCAGTGTATAAGAAACAGGTCCTCCTTCTACAGAACAAAGCAAAATAATGAATTGTTTCAAGTGGAAACATGATGTCAGCTTCTACTGGCAGTTACTAACATTTGATTGGTTCTCAGAACAAGAACAGTAATTGGCCAGGAAAGCTAGACATTACAAACCACTTCATAACTGTGTTTTTTATTTATAATTAAGTACATATAACTTTTTTTGTATTGCAAATAATTGAATTTTGTGTTTTATATTGAATTCAATAATAAATTCTCTTTAAAATGATATATACAAGTTTGCATTTTGCGAAACGTAACATTTTCTATAAGCACTCAAAGTTCAAAAACATAAAAATTTCCAAAAGTGTCCACAATTTTGGCCACCACTGTACGTAAAAGCTGTTTGAGTGCGGTTTTATTTTTTAAAAAGTTAGCTAATGATTTGCACTTTCCAGCTGCAAATGAGGTGAAGAATCAACTCCTCATGGATAAATTCAAGATTATTTATTTGCATAAAAATTGGTGGCCCCTTTCAAGCAAAGCTTAAAAGGCAAAAAGTAAAGTTTTGAGTAATACAGGTTAATTATGCACTTGTATTCTTTCTTCCTTAAAGAGAATAGTATATATGATGAAGCAAAGAAAATTTCCTGACCTACTTCAAACCTCATATATTCTTTACAGAAGAAAAAGTTGGTGAGTGTTGTGTAAATATTACAGCATTTTAAACACTTCCTCATTACTAAATATGTCCATTGCGCGAAAATACAGGCGATGATTCAGCTATGATTTCAGGGTGTTACTGCAGTTTAAACAAAGAAAGATTCAGTGAGGATTTTGAAATTAGCCTAAAGACAGTATATATAAATTAGAAGCTATTGCCGAATTTCTTAGACAATTCTAGTCTAGAATTTCTTAGACAATTTTCTAATATTTGGTGATTATTTCAGCATAGCATATCTTTAGAGTTTAAGTTCTTTTATTTTAATTGATACGGGATTTCATTTAGATTCTACAGACCACTGATATTTTAAGCTAGAAGAACTACATGAAAAATTAATGTTTGCATTCTAATTTCATATTTCTCACATCTTTAAAAATTATAAAATTTGTTTCCGTTCGCAATTTAGAGAATTTTTCAATTGGAATCGTCCATTTAGTGCCACGTTTTATTGCGTAAAATCTTGCTCAATGTTTTTGAAACACACTGAATGTCTGTAAAACAAGTAATGAATTTAAGTATAAATTTTAAATCTACTGTAATAATTTAAAATTAATCAAAATACTTTTCCTAAACGAGATTGCAATAAGTGATTTTATGTTATTTTTGCTAACTGAAAGAGCATGATGTAATATAAGAGTAATTAGGTTAAATTCTATAAATTATTTTGTAACAAAAATGTTTTCATTGTTACTTCTAACGGCAGATGGGACTAATCTGATTGGCAAGTGTGCCAGCACCTTTTTGCAAGTTGGCCGTTATTTGCCAAGACATGAAGGCTGCACGGTACCCTTCAGCAGTTCGATGATACCATAAAAAATGCAAGCTTCATTAAGCTCCCAGGACCCTCATGGGAAGATTTAAATGAGTAGTCGCCGAACAGTTCGGTGCCGGTATCTTATGAAATTTTGATGCTGTTCGGCAACACATGGGGTGCCTGCCCTCTATGAGGTTCAGTTTATACCATAAAGAATGCATCCCTGATCAAGATGCTGGGACGCTGGTGTGAAGATCTAAGTGAATAATTGTCAACTTGCATAAAGGTGTCGGTATCTGTAAGAATGGTCAGGGTTGCAGAACAGGAAAAATTCCCACTTTTTATGTTGTTGCGTAAGGGATTAGATCCATTAATTACAAATATGCTAGGAACTAATGACGTCAGGGTTAAGAGAATTAATTTAATTCATTTACCATTGGTTTATCTTTTGAATTTATGTACATTTTTAATATCGTTTAATCTTCTTCTTCCAATGAATTTATTACTCTTTGTTGCATGAATCAGTTATGATTATTACTTCATTCGTTTTTAAACCATCGATATAAGGGGACAGGACAAACTTATGGTCACCAGCTCCTTGAGAAATTTCCCGAATTTTCCCGGTAGCCCTACCCGCCCCTACTTACTTCACTTATATTTCTTACTGTTTTCATTGTGTACTGTAATCCTGTCCTATTTGTAGGCATTGCGTCGAAAATGTGAAGAATATGCTACGGCTCTTTTGGACCACACTCGTACGTCTTATGAGTTAGAAGTGATGCTGAATTATGACCCTAATGGGCCTTCGTACGAAAAAGGAGATAGAATGAAACTGGAAAGACTAAAACTAGCCATAATTAGTAAACAAAAAACAGTAGGTTTCTTTTAATTATAAGTATTATTATTCTTTATAATATTTGTGTACTGATTGTATGAAATATGCTGGGGACATATAAGGAAGGCATGCTTTTAGAAATTAATTCGATTCAACTCTCATCACCATTTGAGATGTAAAAGTATTATCTTCATTTCGTTTTTATGATTGTTTTTAATGTCGCTTTTGATAAAAAATTAAACTATCTAGAATGTAGATTTTGTGGCCACATTGAACAATCTATACTTCAAATTTCGCAATGGAGTTTTGACTACTTCTAGCTCTCCGTTTCTTAAATTTCACTGCCCCACAGACTTCTCAGTTAGGAAGTACTTCTGGCAAACAGTAGATAGATTGAGTCCTGCTTCTTCGTATTTTAGAGTCATTAGATTATTTTGAAGCAGAAGATGTGAAAATATACAATACCCTAGCCGAAACGCGAACTCTGGACCCCTCGAATACGTCTCGAGTATGCTTCCAATTACACTAAGGTATGCGGAAAGGAAGGAGAGAATATCTTATATAATTCGCCATTTAAAGGGCGAGTAGGGATTAGGAGACCCAATTGCCAAATCCTGGTGGTGACGAATTATCGTCCACCAGCTTCTTTTAGCTCGGGCGCCACTTCTAGGGTCATTAGATTACTTGAAGTAGGAGACGTGAAAAATGCACAATACCTACGCCAGGAGTCGAAACCTGTGCTTCTCGAATGCTTGTCGAGTATGCTTCCAGTTACACCACGAAGACATGCGGAAAGGAGGCAGAAAATACTGCATAAAGTTTTTAGCTTTAATAAAAATTTTGTGTACTATTTTACTGAATTAATGTATAGAATTCAATATAAAGGTATTGTAAGATTTATCCTAAGTTTTTAACAGTTAATTTTGAGTTAAAGCCACTTTCCTATCCTTCTCGATTTCAGCTTACAGTTTCCTGCCAGAACGTGTTTTCAGAATCGTTGTAAATGCAAATGAAAGAAGAGCAAGTATTTAAAATGGAAGTTCTACCAACTTCGTTAGAGAGTCAGAGATTCTGATCAGCGTGCGTTCCGCCTTTTGGCTATACTCTCTCTAAAGTTATTTCTACGCTCGGCCGTACTTTAGGCCCTTGATAGCTTCGCCGTTTAGTTAGCGTTAAGGGGCCAACTATTGTAAAATTGTAATAGCTTCGGCTATATCTCTTTAGTTAAGTTTATTTAAGTTTTATTTCTTAGCATTCTTGAGTTCAAGCCCAAGTAGCTCAAGGCTTTTCTGTACGTCCTGAGAGTTTTCTGTACGACTGTGAGCTTTATTTGAGCAATAAAGGGTAATTAACCCTTGAGTTTAAGTTTCTATCTTTCTGAACTAAGCGATTATTCGCTTACCAGTTCTGCAGGTTCCACACATTTAGCTGTTAATTATAGGTTGGAACATTACAATATAAATGTACGATTTGCAATCTTAAAACTAATTACATACGTATTTGCACTTACTTAACCTTCCTTTGCTCTGAAAAATTTTCGTTTTCGTGCTAAACAGAAATCTAACAAAATTTCCGAAACATAAACAATAGGTAAAAGTTAAATAAAAGTTTATTTAAAGCTACGGTTCTTATAGTACAGCTAAAAAATAAAAAATACAAACCGTTACTCTTGCGGGGTTTCCGTAACTCATTTGCTCGAGACCCTTTTGAATGTACGACACTGTTTACTGTTTAGGATAATTTTTTAAAAAATAAAAATGTAGACAAATATTTGATGAAGTCATAGTGAGGTAAGGAATCATTTAATTCTGCCTAGAGTTAAAGGCAAGTTCCTTAATTAAATAAAATATTCTATTATGGTATAAAAAAATTCAGAAATAGTGAGGCTATTATAATTAGTGGTAATTATGCAGGTTAGATAGGTGGCAATTACCTGCATGGTTTATTTAGTATTTAAACAATATAATTATTCTGTGCAGTGATAATTAAACTCCTTTCTCTCATTCTGCAATTTCATTTATCCAAATATTATCTGCTTATGAGAACCCAACAAATTTTAGAATAAAAATATAACAAAAAAAGAGGGAGGTCTTATTTTAGAGTAAATACAGTAGTTAAAAAAATGCAAGACACGCTGGGATGAATGGATGATTTGTAACTACTAACACCTTGACTTTTGTTAACAGAAATTCCAACTCTACTCGCTAATAGATACAGGTACAGGTACAGGTAAAAGTATGGGGGACATCAAGCGATGCACCTTGAGTCAGCTGGCAATGCCTTCCCAAACTAACTAACTACAAAAGAATTGCAAGCTTTATGAGAGTTTTGAAAGAAAGGTTGTGGAAATAAGCAACTGAAACTTTCAGAAGAATCTACAGTTTACCTATTACGGCACATCGTGGAATCCCACCGTGCACCGCGCATCCAATATTTATTAAAAATAATTATTTGGGATACAAAGAGATTACAATATAGTTTCAATTCAATATGAAATTCTCAAATTAAATTGAACTTTTGTTTTGATGTAGCAAAAATAACAGATAAACTTAATGAGATAAATATAATAAGTCCTGGAGGCACAATGTTATAATGAACTGTAATAATGATAAAGAGATGTGTTCATGAGGTTGTTACAATTTTAAAAGTTATTAAAGTTTATAAAGTTCACAAATGGAATCTTTTAGTATTCACGAGATATAAAAGTTCATAATTTATGCAACATGAGAACTTAGTCTTGACAAATACCTAGGCCGTAGGAAGAGAGTCGTTGCATAATTTTTTGAAACTTCGGATACTCATGCTTATCTTTAACTAAAGCTCTTTGGAATGCCAGGAAATCAGTTTTTGGGGATTATCCTCAGTTAAGGAGCATGAGAAAATGCAATGACCAGGACTTCTCTGTCCTCCACCCACAGAGACGTCGGAGCTCGTCATGTAGCTGGCGTATAAATATATGGGGAAAGGTCTGTGTCCTGTTATATAATAATTAAATGAAGGATTTGAGTATAGAGATACGAAGCTTACATTGGGGATCAAGCTACATCTGCGTTTCCTTGTGAAATATTATTCCACAAATCTGGCCAATATTTTGAAGCAGGTTGATTTAGCTGGTACTTGAAATTTGAACGAGGCCAAGGAAGGGTGATTTCAATACCATCTTGATTAAGACTTGCTTCTCTCGCTAATTCATCTCTCCGATCATTGCCAAAACGTCCACTATGTCCTTTGATCCATGAAATTTGAAGTTTGAAGTTTGGAATTAAAGCAAGAAGAGAATTTATGTCGGAAATCAATAGAGAGGAAGGTAAGGAATTCTTAATCACTAAAATAGCTGCTGGGAATCAGATTTTATGGTAAATTCGGGGAGATTTTTGAGAGTGGATATTTCAATTGCTGATTTTATAGCTGACAATTCAGCCTGGAAACACAATTATTATTATGGAGATGACCAATTCATTTGAGGTTATTTTAAGAGGCAGTTTGAAAATAGACTGCTGAAACAACCTTTTACTTCAATTTTTGATCCAGCTGTACATGCAACTGGAGATGAACTACTTGAATTTTCGGCAGACATGGGGAATTTTATTTTGCTGAAGCGAAGCGATGGATGAATAAGATTGGGATTATTTTTCTTTTCATAGTTGAATGGCAAAAAGATTTGGTAGTTAAATTCTGCAGCTAGATTAAGTTGAAAGACTTTCATGTTGGTGTTTTCCATTTATGCACTGATTGATAGAGGAAGAGTACCAACTAAATTATCAAGAGCTATACAGTGTTCCCTCGCCACTTCGCGCTTATGTTTTGCGGCTTCCGTGCTTCGCGGGTTTTTCCAAAATATTCATCAAAAAATAAAAATGAAAAAATATAACTAAACAAAGAGATGAGTTGACTCAGAGTACATACCACGGGCTCTCATAAAGGCGCGTAATTGGTTTCCGGTGCGACATCGACCAATGAGAGTACTAGTGGATTTATCACTGTGAGTTGATTGTCTGCGCATCATCGCAGCCTCACCTAGCATATTCTCTTGTTGTATCTCGCCAGTCCTGTCTATGATGTTGACTGTCTCCCATACTGTATTTTAGTGTTGTGTTGGCGATAACGTTTTTTATTAATTAAGCCCTCATAATGCCGCTCAAGCGCTGTGTTCCTGTGAAAGCTTCCTTCGGAGCGCCCAAGAGGAAGAAGATGATGAGTATCAGCGAAAACGTGAAGCTTATAGATATGATCAAAGAGGGTAGAAGTTATGCATCTGTGACACGCCATTACGGGGTGAATGAATCTACAGTGCGGTACATCAAGAAAGGGGAAGCAAACATCCGCAAAACTGCTTCAATAACCTTCAATAAAGAAGCGAAACGTGTGGTAACTCCGCGTAATAAGAGAATTCTGAAAATAGAAGCTGCACTGGCATTGTGGATTGCTGCTTGCAAGACAGTGAGTTTCGACACTAATGTGATCAGGACAAAGTCCAAAGCTCTCTACGACCAAATCTTGCCCGATGACACAATGAAGAGGCTGAAGAAGGTGCTGACGAACCTCAAGCCAGTAATAGCGCTGCCAGGAGTGATTCGCCTCCTCGAGGACGAGCCTTTTCAGCCAGCAAAGGCTGGTTCGAAAAATTTCAAAAAAGATACGGCCTCAGAAACGTGCTTCTGTATGGTGAGGCTTCCTCTGCTGACAAGGATACAGCTTGTCGTTACGAGGAGAAGAGTTTCCTAAACTCATCAGCGATGCAAAAATTTGCTCAAGACATTGACGATAATATGGTTCGAGCTGTCGAGTTCAGGAATCGCGTTGACGGGGTTATGTCCTTGTATAGGGGAATTTTAAAAGAAAAGAAAAAACAAAGACAACAACTACATATCACCATGTTTCTCTCCAAGGTAAAGCCCCCGGCTCTACCGTCAGCGCCTCCAGCAGAAGAGTCTCCGAGTGAGCCTAAAGCTTCTACAAATCAAGTGAGAGCCTCTCCTCCGCCACCAACACAAAAGACTCTTCGCCTCTCTCAGAAAGCAATGTTGATTAATGTTTATTACTGTATAAGGTTTTGTAATTAACCTTATTAATTAGCACTGACACGTTTAAGTAAATACGTATACTCTTGTAATTTTTGTCTTAAATATGTAAAGTATAAATACTGTTTACATATTTAAAACATTCTTGTACCCGCATACACGAAAATTCCTAGGAGGAAATCCTACTTCTCCGTTTTTCAGCTTTCGCGGAAGGTTCTGATCCTCATTAACCGCGAAAAACGAGGGATCACTGTATTTGAAATTATGCGACACGCTCGAGTGATATAAAGAATAAAAGGCCTTTGAAATGAATTTAAATTTAATCTCTAACTATCATTGGTTGTGCCTAAATTCCGGCTCCGTTATTTATCATTTTTTAATATAACTCTTTCTAGAAGAATTTGTCTTTGTATGGGGATTTTATCCCCAGTTATATCCATGAATGCGTCGTAGTCAGTTAGCTATTGTACGATGTTGTACGACCCTAATCGATGTTGTACGGCTTACGAAATTCATTCACCAAATATGCAGATTGGCGTCTCAGAATAAACAGCTTTACCACAGCAATCCTTTATATATTACTAATTCACAGGCTGTTTAAATCAACCGAATTGTATTCTGGTGATGTTGAAGGACGAAGTAGAAAGTGAAGGAAAGAATTAAGATAAAAATTAAGTATTAATAAAAATAAAATTTGAAGATTAACATGTTAAGATCTTTTTACCATTTCTTATATTAGACATTTTTGTTTCTTAGGTTTCAAGTTGCGGTATCTAAAAATTTCATTTAAGTTCTCTATCTGTTATTCACTTTCAAGAGTTTATTGTCCAATCCCTTTATTTACAAAATTTGGAATCTTTAAAATTGTCAAAATATCCCTCTGAGCATATATTGCTCATCCTTACTCTAATAACCGCGTAAGTATAAACAGCTTGCAAACCTTAACAGAGTTGTAAAAAAGAGTAAAAGAGCTTCACAGAAATCTAATTATGTAGTTTAAACAGAAATATAACAGTCTAATATAAGTCAATAAGTCTAAATAGGGCTAGCCTTGTAATTATAAACAGAGATGCAACCTTTCGAGGTAATTTTCCTTTTACCTTGTAGGGATTTATATTTATTTTAACTAACAATTTAAAGTTTGAGTTTAGACCTTTCCTGTAAGTTTTCATTCCCCTAATTGCCAGTGCCAGAATAGTTAAATTTTGTATCGCGCGGAAGGAAATGCAAATTTTATACTTTGAAGGAAGTAGTTAAAAGCTGAGTTTCGTTAGGAGAAAGGAGAGCTAGGCTCTAGCTGCTGTCTCTGCTCTAGGTACGTTTGCTTATTGCTGGTTCAAGTGGCTTAATTGCATTCATCTGCTGCCACTAGCTTCAAAGGGGGTTTAAGTTACGGGATCTCGCTGAGCCCTGTAGGATAGTTTTATCACTTGTTAATATTTCAATTTTTAGTTTCAATTATCTGACTTTCAGTTACCGCCCAAGCAAAGGCGAAGTTTGTTAGCGTCGAGTTGACGCATTGTAAATTTTAAAGAGTTATAAAGGGTACTTTAACTCTTCTCCTGTGTAGTTTCCTGCTACTCCAGTATACAGACAGAAATTCATTCACTGGACTCTACAACCTACTAAAGCCCGACATATTATCTCAAAAATCTTGATTTTGTAGTTGAAGTTTTTGTACTTATTATTCGTTCTCAGAAGAAGAAGAAAAAAAAATGTAAATACATGAATAAAAAAGATATTACGAAATTATACGAAACTCAGACGAACCTAAATTTAAGGAGGGAGTTATCATTTCCCAAATTGACCTGATATGACAATTCATTGAATTGAATGCCATTGTTAATTACCCGAAATCTACCTAAAGCATTTTCTCCTCAAACTCATAAATGTCTAATTTAATTTCCTTGCTTAATTTCCATTAACATAGTAGCGATTTGAGCTTTGATTCTCTAACTTCATAAACATTTCACGTTTTTTTTTTGCAGACTTTCAAAGTGATTTATTTATTTCTGCGAGGTTGAAAATTGCTCAGAGCAAGGCAAGGTTAAACAAGAGCAAATAGGTGGTTAATCTGGTATAACTTCGCAAAATTTATATTTATTTTTTTATATATAATTGTATACATTGATTCAGTAAGCAAGCGCACAAAATTTTTATCGAAACTAAATTTTCATAAAAACTTGTGAAACTTAGAAACATTGTTTAAAGAAGTATTTTTAAAATACAAAGAAACGTGATACAATCTGCTTAATAGTTTATCACTGAGGTGTCTGTAGGTCACAGAAAATATACATACTTATTTTTACTAAATCTAAGAAAAAGTATTAAAGCTTGCATGCAGATAAACCTTTACAAAAGAACAAGCAAATTCGCATGACAACTACCCAGTATTTAACAAACACAAACTACATTAGAGAGGTTTACGCCAGGGTCCTCTAGATTTTTCTATTCTTTTCTCATCATGAAGGAAAAGAGAACTGATACGGCTCTGTTTACACATGGAATGTTTTATGCAGAACGAATTTAGAATGGAAATAAAAGAAGTGTATCCTTTTTACAGGATTTTTTTTTTTTTTTTTTTTACTTTACACGTAGCAGGCTTTCCAAAAGCCTCCACATAAATTACATTACGAGGAAATATACAAGTTTTTCTAAGAAGTTACATTTACTGTAAATATGTCACTTACAGTCAACTTTCTTTCAGTATTATATACTAAAAGAAAATATACATATACGTATATATACAGCAAGAAAAAGAAATGATTCAATAGGCTTTGTATTTTCAATGTTGCTGTTGTTGTGACTTATCTCACTTGTCTGACATTAACATCAGAACAAGCTCTCGATATTCATCGTGGCAAGGCGTGCAAGATTGTGTTTGTCGTTGGCAAGTGCCTTGAGCACTATAGAGGTGACAGTACCACTTTGCTCAGTCCTCCCACCAATTTTGATGGGAGAGCGCCCGGGGGGACGAGTCAAAAAGTCTCACACCATTCTTCCCCCTACGACCAACCTCTCGAGAGGTCTTTAGGCTCACTGTATATTTAGAGTGCCTCCATGTCGCACAGACACAATAGATTTACAAACTTCCATGCCTTCGCCGAGATTAGAACCAGTCACATATCCCGGTTGGGCGTCTTGCATTCTTAATTAATAACTTTATTCACTTTTGTAGTTTCATCACATCTTTCGGCGATTAACGAGAACTTTAATCTGGCATCGTCAATTTTATACTGAATTTGAAATACTCAATGAAAAACGTAGTGTTGTTTTGCCAGTTTTGTTTTTTACATATTATTCTGCTTTCACCAAAACTGAAATTTAAGTATAAGAGCGCTCATCAGCAGCCGACCTGTAAAGCCGCTGAACACTGGTAGTTCGACCTGTATTCGATTCTATGCGAAATGAGCGTTTTCGCGGTTTTCTAGAAGTATAATGTGGACCCCAACCAGTTTCTCTTACAACGTTCTCCACGAAGACATCCCTCTCGTTAGCCCTCGAATGCTTTGTCATAATCAGATAAGTCAATGTTAAGAATACGATTATTTTCATTTATAACTGTCAGGAATGCGATTATTTTCGTCTATAACTGTCAGCAAATTTACACTTGTATGAGAAATACACTTTTCGAGAAACTCGTGGTGAAATATTACTAGTTTTTTTACAGAAAATCTAAGAACTTACACAGTAACGACAGACTAATTCAATACAGCATAAATAAAATTATTTTTCTTTGGTGTGGATGGTTTAACAGAACCTAATAAAAAATACAGATAGAGTTTCTTTGATACAGTTGGTATTAACTACAAACTAAAAAAAAATTTTCTTCTGATAGTTTATCATAAGAAAGGATTTGCATTTGAAATACTATAAACAATCATGCTTAATTGTGTACGAATTACATACGTAATCATACATAACTATTCGTTCAGTGTTCTAACAATGTGTGTAATTATTTTTCAGGACTATTATCTTGTCGTATATATAAAACAAAAACTATTATAAAACATGATACTTTTTATTTTTTAGTTTGTTGCACATCCAAATGTTCAGCAACTTCTGGCTTCCGTCTGGTATGCAGGTAGTCCAGGATTCAGAAGAAAAAATATCTTGGGACAACTTTTAGAGATTTCCAAAATGGGGATGATGTTTCCCGTTTATTCCATGGCGTACATATTGGCTCCTAACAGCACGTTAGGAAGCACAATGAAAAAGCCTTTCACAAAATTCATATGTCATTCAACGGCATATTGTTTCTTTTTGTGTAAGTAAACGCATTCAACATTTTAAACCTTTGATTATTTCTTGAATCACATCCTACGACTGCATAAATCTAGTTTTATCCAAAAGCATTTGAATTCAAAAAGACATCAGAATACAAAAACATTTAGATACTTATTTTTTTATGTATTCATAAACATGATTTGCACGTACGATTAATGAAATTACTTGTGCACGGCGCTAAGTTTAGATTTCATTTTAAAGCGTTTGCATGTTGCAATCATTTTTAACAAATATTACGTGATTTTGAGTGTGAACTGTAACATATGTGAGTATATAAAATGAATAATGTTTATGAATGAATTATTAAATTTAAATGAATATATTAATAGTATATAAAAGGGCTTTTATTAAATTTCGTAAGTGCTGATTCTTTATCACTGTACTCAAATATCTGATATTTTAGTTTTATGTTACTTGTTTCACTTTGCATTTATTATTTCAGTGCTGTTAATCATGGCGTCTCAACGAGTAGAAACACTTCTCATGCAGTGGATCGGAACTGATTTTCTTCTAGAGAAAATTCGCTACGATAGTGAACACGAAAGGGGTAAACCACCGGGTCTTGTGGAATCTGCGATCATGTTTTTTGTCGTTGGTGAGATAATATTTTAAGCTGTATCACAACTCGTAACAGAAGTTTTTGTGATTTCAAAAGACAATTGCTTTTAAAAAAAAGAAAAACTGCACATAAATTTAGAAATATATATTTTTTAAATAAATTTGTACACTAAGTGTATTCCAGATTTTCCCCTGATTAAATGTTTCTTGTTTCCATTTCTGAATTGTTGAAAGGAGATATAACTGTTATGTTCAGAAAGCTCGTACCGAAAAATCAGAAGATGGAAGAAAAGTCGTGTATGGTTATAAGGCATTTTCTCCCTCCTTTCTGCCTGCTTTCGTGGTGTAATTGGAAGCATACTCGACGTGTATTCGAGAGGTCCGGGGTTCGATTTCGAGCGAGAGCACTGCACATTTTTCACGTCTCCAGCATCAAAAACCCTGATGACTCTACACGGTAATTAGAAACACATCTTTATATAATGATATATTAAGCTTAATGTTTAACAACGTTTCCCTATCTGCAATGCAGGCTGAGGATCCCTTTATTCGGGAATTTAACTAGTTTCAGCATAAAAACTGGTTTAGGTACATTACTTGGCCCAAAGAATCGAACCACAAGGTATTCAGGACAATTTAAAATGAATCTAAATTCGTAGTATGAAAGAGCAATCGTCAGAGAATATGCTAGCTTAAGTACAATATTTCACTTGAATTTCGGTAAATTCTACTATATAGCCTGAACTCAGGCTCTTGCCTGAGTTCACGTATTGTGCTAATATCAGGCCGATTCGATATAACAAAACGAGTTTTCCTAATTGTTGCCTTCAGAACGTCCATTTGTTAACATAACTGTTGTTTATCGTCTTATTTATCGGGAGAAGCTCATAGAAGAGTGCACCTTTGAAAATCCATATTAAACAATGAGAAAATATTTTTGGGGAGATTTTTCTCTTTAGGAATAAATAACTGTGTATCACCCACTTCAGCCTAGCCCCTCACATTGTCGCAAACAATCCATTTTTCATCACTAGCCACAAATCTTCTCAACAGTTGTTCATTTTTATTATATTTCATAATTCTATGATAGATGAAAACTGAAACGAGTAGCCCTTGTCAGCCAAACCGGGTGAAATCCATCTATCAAAGCGATTGATTAGCCGAGCTCCAGGAGGTGATTATGGATTGAAGATTCTGATATGTTAGTTTCTGCTATTGAATATCATTTTGCTGTTTCTGACGGTAATCAGCATGTAAACCAATTACCGTCAAACAACAACTTAATTCTTCACAAACATTAGCTGTCCAATTACCAAACAGGCCAATTACCTGCGAGCATCAGTTGGCATGGACCTGATCCTAATCTACGGGACAAGCTCTGATCTCTTCAAATTCTATATAAAGGTTCCATTGCAAAATCTAGTAAACCATTTGTGTATTATTCCACCTCTTATAATAGTGTTCCTGAATTTATCAGATTATTCTCGTGCGGTTTACGCTGCATTTGTACCACCTTGATTTTGGCAGAGTGGATCTCGTTTCTCTTACTCTTTTTCCGTCTATGGTGGTACGTAAGAAATTAGGGCATTTCTCTCGCGCGCTTTTGTGATGCAGTGGTTAGCTCATTCAGCTAATAATTGAAAAGTGCACTATAGATTGCAGAAGGGGAGACAGTTGATTTTCCCCCATTTCAAATATCTAATAGTCTTTAAAATAGTAGAATCTTATAATACATATAGTATACCTCAAATATAAGGTGACCTTCGTTTCATTGTCCTACTATTATACAACTACTTCTTCGTCTTTCAACCGCTTCCAGCGCATGCATGAATTTCCCACAGGTTTTGAAACTAATTATTGTGAAGATGGTACATGGTGACCCCACATAAATAAACTGTATGTACGTATTTGACATGTATTTTCTACGTGTACACTATTCTACGTTCAATAATAACTTCTGAACGTTCAGAAGCTTCTGGAATAGGAATACATTGAAGAAATTCTTCATTAAATTGTAGGGACTATTTTGATTTTCTAATAGTTATTTCTAATTTTGAAACCCTTTCCTTTAAATTCTTGTTTTCCACCTACAGCTCCCTGCCAGAATTAGATTTCAGTGTCGCGTTTTATATAAATGAAGCAGAATCAGCATTTAATGGGGAAGTTCAGTCACTTCCGTAGAAAGAGCTCAGTAGAGCGTTTTCTGCCTTCGGGTTACGTCGTTACTTTAAGCCTATCTTACTAAAAATGGCCGTAGTCTTACGTGCCTGTTAGTATTCGCCGGTAAGGTTTAATTATGGGCCAACTTGGTTAGTTATCTTTGAAAAGCTTCGGTAAAGTTTAGCTAGTTAGAATTAGTTTAGTTTCTTATTTTCCGTCTTAAAGTAAAGTCCAAATGGAGGCTTCCTCGCAAGCCCGAGAAGGGGCCGACTGTCATGATTTCTTTGAGTGAGTAAAAGGTTATTTTAACCCTTCTTTTGACTTGTATTTTATACAGTTGCAAAGAGACTAGTGAATAGTCCCTAGACGCTCTCATAAAAGTTCTCTAGCAGCCAAGGACATGTAAATTAATTAGAACTTTATAAAGTTTAAGATGCAGCGTTCCAATAATCAATATACACTCTGAGCCAAAAATGTCCGCACATTTAGAAGTTGCCAGACAGTCTCGAAACTTAACATGTAAAGTCCTCTTGGCTAGACATGAATGTAATATTTAATAACAATAATAATAAACTCACAATGCATGAACGATGGGAGTGACTTCCAAGAGAAATGTGACATCCAAAACATACATTGTACATTGTTCGTCTTTGGTGTCGCTTTGGATTGTTTATGTGATATAATATTGCTTATTAGAAAATAAGAATGGCTCAAATACATATTAACAGCAGTTTAACTAATTGAACGAGTTCAATAGATATTGTATTTACTTCCTCGAAGTACAGTGTCAAGAAGTACTCTCACAAAGATGGACTCTATTTTCGTTGTTCGTTGCCATATCTACCACTGACGCCTGACAATGGCAGAAACATTTACTCTGGCTTCGTGGAGTATAGGAATAGAGCTGTAATCGTGATTTTCGCTTGGTTCGAATGATTAGAGAATTCATATAAGGAGGATGGTTTGTCAAAGTTGCTTATCCAACGTCGTAAATGAAGAGGCATTCGTCTACCTGAGTTATCCTCAGAGAGGCATTAATTATGATATTTGACAATCTTTACTGATCCTTCTCAGCAACTTTATCGCCCGACTATATGTTTATGACGTTCACTTATTTGTCTCCTAATTCTCATCTTAAGCATCAATTTGACAAAACAGTTTTTCTAGATACGAGGAATTTTTTTGACAAAGATTGTATATACAGTTAGACTTCCTAATTTCTTGTTTTGCATTTTATTTACAGGATTCGTTTGGGCTGAAATTAAGCAATTGTGGGATGAAGGCTTGCTCAATTACCTGTACGATATGTGGAACGTTGTGGACTTCTTTACAAATATGCTATACCTTACCTGCATTGGACTACGGTTTTCTGCTTGGTTTATCGTATGATTCACCAATTAATTCTCAAACCTTTTCCCAATTCCTGTAGCTTAAACCGTAATATAAGTAGAGAATTTCAAAGCTTGAAAAATTTGCTAGTGATATGAAATTTTGCTTTCAGTATCCACCTTTAATTGAAGCACTTTACCAGTATATAAAACGTATGATAGAAATAAAATGATTCTTATAGAATTTCGATGCATCTTCATATTTCTCCATAGAGTACCTCCAAGCATTCATGAAACGTATGTCTTGCAGTTTCTATGATATGATACCTGAAAGTAGCACCAATAGACTTCTTTACTTTAAAGTGAGATTATTTTTTTAAACTTTATTTGCTCCTGCTAAGCAAATCTTTTTAAACTTACTTGCAATCCATAAATGAGAAGTGCACAATTTCAGTTGCTTTGTTTATAAGTATCCTTATCTATAAAGCTAAAAATACGTCTGGGCAATTTTAAGCTTACCCTTCCCCACTCCTATTGCTAGATGTTGAATCTCAACAACTGATGTAATGTCATAGAGTATGCTTTGCAATAAAATTAGTATTTTAACTCGTAAGTAAAATTTACTCTTCTGTAATTCGATGAGAAATATATATATATATCTTTTTCTCATATTCAGGTACAAAGAGAACTTGCCAATGGCTTAGAAGCTTATTTGCCAAGGGAGGAGTGGGATCCGTATGATCCGATGCTCATCTCGGAAGGAATATTTGGGGCTGCTAATATATTTAGGTTAGAATGTTCCATTGTATTTCTTCATTTACACACAAATATGATGAACATTCTTCACCTTAATATCTTTATAGTTATTTATGCAAATTCCATAGTGTCATGGCTGATTAAAAAACTACTACTAGCAAAGTGAAGAAGATCGATGAACACGAATTCTTTGATCCTGGTTGAAATCCCAGAGAACAGTGTAGCTGCATAGGTGTTTTTGTAATTTTCTCTATTTGTAACGCGAGTTTAATTTAATATCCAGACATCATATCGAGTACAATATAATAATTATCCGCGAAGACATGTCTCTCTTAGATTGAAAACTCTGTCGATCGTTTTGCCACAATCAGTAAACAAATAAGCATAACTCGTTTAACTTGCTTGTGTAAGGGAAGGCGAGTCCAAACCGAGGCCTGTAGGCTGAATAAGGTCCTCAGAGTTCTATGATATTGCTCACGAAGCACAAGCGCCAATGAATTTGAAAATTAGAAACGATTGGATGACTTTTGGCGAATATGACTGTGCTTAAATAAAAAAATAAATAAATAAATAAATAAATAAAAATAAAAAACACCTCTTTAAGGCATAAATCACTAATGGATGATATTTCAAATAATGACAACATTGGAAATTAAATTGAAATTGTAGCAATGTCATGTTAAGAGCTTAATGCACTCTGGAACTTTTTCTATGATAACTGATTCTCACTTCAGGAGAATACTTTGAAATCAGTTGCAATTCAACACACTTACTATATACTATTATATTCAGATGAATTTCAGTATATATCTTACTGCTTGTTTCAACTTCCCTGCGAACTTGCAAATGGTACGCTTAGAGTTCCGATGGTATATGCAATGTAAGACCTTTATTGAGACCTTGAGAGACCTTTATAAGTTGCACTTGCCTAAAGAAATATTATCAGTCTTTTGTGGTTGTTTACTAGATTATGGCAAAACACACGAGAGCCGTATTGTCTAAAGAAACAGGAACCTTCCTGGGGAAATTTCTAAAGAAGCTGGCTCATAGTTATACAGTAAACACCGAAACAATCATGATGTCAGACTTTTCGGGGAGATTCGAACCCAGGACGGAATACAGGTGTCCAGCTAGCCATTGATGTTTCTCTAGCTTTTCATTTTAAAATATGTATGTTTGAAAACCATGTTTTTCCATTTAAAAAATTATCACGGACAAAAAAATGCTGACAAATATCTTAAGTGTACTCTTCATAATCAATATCACATATATTAAATTGGATGTAAATGTAATAGTTCACAGAAAAAAGGTTCAAATTTACACTAAATATGTTATGATTATATTTCTAACTAACAAATATCTTTTAAATTAAAATAAATTAAATTTATATTAGGCTGTAATGATGTATACAGATTGCATTGTGATTATCAGAAATAATAATAAATGGTATCTGCTTTCCTTGGTTTTATATGTATGACTGATTTAAGAACATGGCATCTGGCTTGGAAAATTTTAAAACCTTGCAAATAGGATTTCAGTTTAATATAGTCTATCCAAATGATTCTTAATTCCTGATTCTAATATCAGGTGATTATACAAAGAAATTAGCCCAAATGTTTTCAAGTAACCGATAAATTTTATTTAGTTAATGTTCTGAAATATGGAAATTTGTTTCGTCGTAGTTTCCAGTAATGTTTTTCCCTTTACTACAACAGAGAAATTTGCTGCTGCTTTTTGGATAGTAAACAACTGTTCAACTTAAAAAAATGGCTTTAATAGGGTCTTTCCAAATTTTAGAATTGTTAAATCACATGTTATTTCACGATACGTTATCGAGTCATTTATTATCCTCGCGACCTAAAAAATTTTACCTTTGCACAAAATGTAAGTCCTTTAATTTATCTTCCACGTCGCTTACCAACTAGCCAATTTCTAGAATATTGCCATTCGATATGGGTTAAGATCTCTAATTTTTTTTAGGTATGATTGATATAAGAACTGGTCGATTTAAAAACAAAAACACGTACGTCTTATTGTGTTGCCTTACACGAGTGACGGATCTTTAGTAGGTCACTGATGACTTAGATATTGAAAGTCACGGAGAGCCTAAAAATTTAAATTTTATTTTATTAATGTTGGCATAAGTTAAAATATATATAACTGTAAGTAATTTAGTTATTTTATGAATATTTTAACCTTTTTTTAATTGATGAATAACTTTTTTTATTGATGAAAAATATTTCTCACGCCTATGTTTCATACCTAGTACAGAAGTCACTCCGTTTTGATTGTGCTCACGTCAAAACATGTCTTTATTTTTCGTATGTAAAACAATTTTGGACAATTTTGTGATAACACGTAAGACAGTTTTGATTTCATCATGATTTTCAGTCAATGGTTTGCTACTGTTAATAAATTTTCATGTTGAATACTTCTTCATCTCCTTATTAATTAGCTTAGATATTGCAACAAAAATTAAACTCATTGTACCCTACCTTTTGTTTTAGTGCTTTAAGATCCTCAAGCACACTGATATATGGTTTCTAAGAAATTTGGATGATATAACATTAAAAATATTTTCGTTTGCCATAAATTTTCAAAATTAAACTACTCCGAAATTCTAATTGCATTTGCAGACTTCTGTATAAATTTATTTGCTGAAAATTATCTTAAAGCTTGTCCTTGTTTGCAGAAATATGAAAAATGTTCTCTTGAAATATGAAATAAATAATATTCCTTTTTATAACTGCGTTCTTCTAAAAGGAATTTTATATTTAGATACTGGACTCTCCATTTTTTTCCCCTCCTATTAGCAATGGTAATATACTGCAGATGAGATAATACTATAGTAATTATAATAAAAATAAATCAATTATTATTAATTTAATAATTGATAATTAATTAGCAATTTCATAATTAATAAGTTAAATTAATAAATTGATTAAAAATTAACTATAAGTTTTGAGGCATACTTTAAAGCTTATACTTAATTTTAATTTAGTCATATGAATGAAAAAAAGCTCTCTTAATTATTCTTAGCGGTTGAAAAATCAGGCGTATTTTTTACTGGTCAATTATAAGGTGGCCCAGAAGTCACTTTACATTTTGAAAATTAAATAAACTTTTCTTAATGACTGATTTAATTAATTCTTTTATTTTTGCTTATTCACATGTCCATTCAAATGGAAATGAGCTTCATCTACCATGGATTCAACTGTGAATAACTCATTGTCATTTCTTGAAAGTTCTCCTGAAATCTGACAGCATAATTTACTCGTTTCTGAAAGTCTGCTGGTTTTAAAGATTGCACTAATTGAACCTTGAAAACGCGTCACTAAGTTCCTTATTGCAGGCCTACTAGGGGGATGTCGAACATTAAAAATGGCGCATATCTTAGCGTTGCAACAATTGACCGTCCATTTTCAAAGTAAAATTCAATTACCTTCACTCGTTTTCTGGTTGTAAACTTATCCATGCCAAAATTTCCAGGATTATATTTTTAATTCTGAAAAGAGAAAAAGAAATATATTAATAGAAAAAAAGTTATTTAATTTTCAAAATGTAAAGTGACTTCTGGGCCACCCTATAGTAAAGACAATTAATTGCTTAATTGCTTGGGCTATTTTACAGCGTACTGATTTTGAAAAGTATTTTACAGTGTCTTTAAATCTTTGCTTTCCTTTCCTTTCAGCTCTAAACATGAAATTCGCCTGTTTGTAAATAGCAGTTTTATTTTCCTGCTCAAAATTGTTTATTTTTTATATCTATATCTTTTTTCTCTCCTCATCATTAGCTTTTTGAAAATGGTTCACATCTTTTCCGTGAATCCACATCTCGGACCCCTTCAGATATCTTTAGGTCGTATGGTTTTTGACATCATCAAATTTTTCTTCATCTACTCCTTGGTGTTATTCGCATTCGGCTGCGGAATGAATCAGCTGCTATGGTACTATGCTGACATCGACAAAGAACTTTGCTACAGTATGCCCGATGGGTCTCAGAATCCAGACTACGAGCAATCCTGTCTCATATGGCGAAGATTTGCAAAGTAAGACGCTATAGAAAATTAAAACTTTCGAAACATTCAAATTACTTCATTTATAACATGCTCATAAAATACATTTATCATTACATTGGGTCTCACGTAAATTTTATTTGATTTTCTCTGAAATATATGCCTAAAATGTTTTGCTGTATTTTCAATCCTCAAACCTTCGTAAAAAAAATTCCATTTGCACTAAATTTTCATACGCCTCCAACCTTAGCAGCTAGAAAATCTAATTACTTAAGTAGAGAAGCAATAAGAAAGTAAACGCACACACGGGACGAAAAAAAATTATTGTAAAAGCTGACCGTAGATACGAGTATTTTACCTGCTCTTGTCTGGCAACTTTGAGTATTTAATATGTCTCAGCAAAGGGAAAGAAAAAAATAAATCCAATTTCATTTTAATGTAGAATATTTTAACACGATTTGGAGAGGAAAGAACATAAGAGTTTAGTTTTTGCGGAATTTACTTTAATGTGATATGGTTTAAATTTTTTTAAATGATTCCAGAATGATTATGAAGATGAGTATGAAAATCTCCATTTTTTAACCGGGAGAAAATACTCAAGGAAAATTCTAACAATTTTCATTTCAATAAATGGGATAGTTATGGTCAGCTTTCTCAGATCAGGTTTAACTTTGAAAATATATTAGATGAAAATTTTAAGTATTCCATTCTCCAAATGAAAATTACGCTAACAAACTTATATAATTTCACAAAACATTTCTCTATTTTATTTTACAAACTCGAGGGAAAAGCCTTTTTCTTCTGTAAAAATATTGGTTTACTTTGTTAACAAGTGAATTTAATCAGTTAATAATTTTCTTCGAAAATGTTAATATAAATCCTCTACTTTCAGTTTTCGCAAAAATCCCAACCTGCCGGAGGATTCGCGAATTTTCACTAATTACCATGCGACCGCCCACTCTCTTTTCAACGATTAACTGCCTTAATTATGAGCATTTCGAAAAACAAATGTAAATTGTTGATCAATGTGTGTTTAACTAAAAGCCATTTATTTCGGTCAAGAATTTCTGTGTGGAAATATTAAACAAAATCTCTCTATTCATAACACTGATTAAGGAAATATTTTCACTGCTGTCTTCAGTTCGCCAGCTCTAGTCTCTGATTTTGTGTATAAAGTTAGAAATGTTTAGATTATTTATAATATTTAATTAAAAACATTAACTAAAAATACATCACAAACAATAAGCTAAGACTTCTGATACAAATTATGGGGAAAGAACGTACTTTCGAACATAATAGAACATATTGCGAGCTTTTACATCAGAAACCAATCTTCTTCCGGATGCACTGTTTTTCACTCAAACTGTCTTTTTTTTTTTCTTTCGCTTTTTACAGTGAGAAAAAGAGAACTGAGCGTATACAGTTCAAAAGCTTTAACTTTTCTAATGTATTTCCCTCCTCCAAGTCCAGTAACTCCTGCTAAAGCTTAAAACGAAGAGGACGATGAGTTAATAGTCAGTGGCCAGAAGGTCTCACTGCTAAGAAATATGAATTAAAAAAAAAAAAGAACTAAAAATAAGGCCCCGGTTCCATGCATTTGTTACTAATAGAAGAACGTTGAATAAAAGAAAAGAACAGTTATGTTAGCTGTAAATACAGACATATTTTATTAAGAAAAAAGAGAAGTCCTGTTAATCCAGCACATTTTTAAATAAAGTTTTATTAAAATGAGTTCTCATGTTTATATAATTTAGCATAATTATTAAAAAATCATTATTAAAATATTTCATCATTGCATAATCTTAATTACTTCCATTAAAATATTTGCGTTGGCAAAATCTAATATTAATAATATTACTATTAGAAAGAACTATACCTACGAATTCCTAATTTTAGACATGTTATTTATTATTTAAGTTAAATATCTATTGTTTATTAGAATAAACGAACTTAGTTCTAAGTTTTCGATGTTATATTCTGAGAGAAAAAAATGTTAGGAAAATTTACTAGACATTACAAAAAATTTTATTACTCATTTTTCTATTAATGCGATTAGTAAGTAAAAATTATTTCATAATTAAAACCACTGAAATGGATTTATTTTTATTTAATGTTTTAGAAGTTTTAAAATGAATAACGACTGCTGAAAAGTAATTGAAAGCATTATGACTTATTTTGACAAATTTCACACTAAACTATGTCGAAATTTTGACATAAATAGTTTCAAATCAAGACTGAATGAAGAATTTTGTAATTTCCATGAACTCCAACATAAAGAAAGTTGTAAAATTAAGAAATTAAGCAATTAAAAAATTCAGTTGCAGCAATGAATTTTCTAATAAATTAAATTTTCAGGGTTGAATCTGTATATTTTTATGTTTATGTATGGGTTGATAAAAAAGTTTCTGTTCGATGGGTCGCTACGCTGATGGTATGACGTTTCAGAATTCTTTAAGAAAGTATGGACGTGTGACGTGTCCATACTTTTCCTTACAGAATAGCATTCACAATTCTCTAAGGAGTATGGACGTAAGACGTATTGCATTTAGAATTCCCTAAGGAGTGTATACACCGGAAATGACTTTGCTTATAAATGCGTCCAAAAAGAAATCAACGCGTAGTCACTTTTCTTTCTTTCTTTTGTTTGTGAAATAATATAATTTTTTATAAATTTGTGGAATAACATAAAAGTCCGCTGGTTATTTTAGCATTGTGATACCGCTACTTGCTACGCTTGATTGGCAGCGACTGACAATCAGTATAAAACATTTCGGTAATCTTCGTAATGATATGATTTTTCTGCACTTTAATGATCGTATTGCAAGTTTTACTCTCTCCTTACCCCCCCCCCAATGGTGTGAGCGGAAAATATTCAACAGCAATCGGAAAATCCGGAGTTTTAAACCCGGCGAGGACATTGCACAATTTTCACGCCTCTTGCTCCGAAATAAAAAAAAAAAAAAAAAAAAAAAAAAAAAAACTAAAAGCTGTACAGTATTATTAAAGGCAGCAGATGTTGAATGCCACCCAGTGGGAGATCACTTGTTAGTAATCTCACTATGCAATTGTCGCTATAGAAATGCAATTATCGCTATTGTCGCTGTAGAAATCCTCGCATGTTGATCTGTATTGGACGATGACTTAGATAAAGGCTTAATCAATTTAGTGCAGAAGATTAAAAATTAATGCCAGAAGGGCGCGCAGAACTTGTTTGTTCTGTGGTCAATTAACTTTCTGGCTTACTAAAGGCGAAAATGTGTTCAATATTAGAGTGCCAACTGAACGGAAACTATTTTTATAAGTCCTTATATTATATCTTTAAGTGTTTCGGAGATATGTTAGTTTTGGATTTATTAATTTTGCTTGTATATATAAATAACAAACTAATATTAAAAAAAGCTAGATGAACAATAATTCGCTATTCTATTACAGCCTCTTTGAAACCTCTCAGAGTTTATTTTGGGCCAGTTTTGGATTAGTTGAGTTAGAAAACTTCGAACTTACTGGTATAAAGAGTTATACACGTTTCTGGAGTCTCCTCATGTTTGGTTCATATTCTGTTATCAACGTTGTAGTTCTTCTGAACTTACTCATTGCTATGATGAGTAATTCTTATCAAATAATTTCTGTAAGTAAAATTATTACTTATTGTACCTAGTATTTAGTAAATTAGCAAAGTTATCATTTATTATACCCGGTATTCTATTATTTTGTAAAATAATCCGTATGCTGAGGGATATAAATGCTGGAACTGTATACTATCCCGATGAACTCTAACGTATATTAAAAACCTCACTATCTGTTAAACAGATTCAATACGCCAGGCATATATTTCTGAATTTAAACCGATACGTGCACAAGCCCAGAGGCAAGATTTTGCTGCAAAAATTCAGACAAAATGCAAATCCATCCAGAAGCCGAATTTAAAATCATCTTAAAAGTCATCGTTAAAAATATGAATATCGTTAAAAATATGAATATTTTATCTTATAGCTTAGCTAAGTTTATTAGATAAGCTGAAAATGAGAGCCAATTTACCTCAACCTCCATTCGAAATAAAGGCACTTTCTTCACCAGTAACTTCGGTTTCTTAATTCTCCTAATTTTTGAACATGCTCAAAATGTGGCGTTTTTGCAATAACGTGGCAAATTTTAATTTTTTTTCTAAGTTGTGATAATCACATCCAAGTAATCGCAGTTATTCAATTCCCAAAGGAATTATGAAACCTATTTAAAATGGATTCAAAAGAGATATTTTCATGGCGTCTGTACTTACGTATGTATGTATCTCCCATAACTCAAAAACGAGTAGCCTCAGAACGTTGAAATTTTGTATATAGAACTGCTGTAATATGTAGTTGTGTACCTCCCGTTTTGGTTTCAATTGGACGCACAATTTAAAAGTTGTTTAAGTATGGCTAAGCCTAATTTTTCATACTATAGCAGCCATATTTGTTTCCATTTGAAACTTAGCAGAAACTTTTAGTTTTGTGCACCGAAAAATTTGCCTTTTTGCCTGCTGGCCGAATTGCTTGTTTTTGAGCACAAACTCTAATTTTAATTGTAATTTTTATAAAACTGTTTTAACTGTATCTGGTGTTTTATGTTTTTCTATACCTTTCAATATTTAATGAAGATATTTTGAGTTTTCATGTATTTTTGCCTTGCTGCGAAGGGAGAACAGAATTAATTGAATGAGAAATATATCTCTAATGAAATTCGAGGAAATAAGTGTTTCATATTAGCAGCAAATATTGTCGCCAGTCTGTCTCGGACAGAGGAGAATGTTTAAGAGTAGCGCATGCGCATTAGGTAAGCGGCGCTGAATCGTCTGCGAAAAACTGCTTCTTTTTTATTTGTTTAATTTCTTTTATACATCGTTTTATATTTATTATAGCATTTCAATAGAACATTTGGAAACGATTCGATAACTCTTCAGATGATATAATTTTGGGGCATCCTGAGATTTAAAATGAATGAGATATAACGCTGTTAAGTGAACCTAGCGCCAGAGTGTCGCTATGGTAAATAAATATATTGAATTTTAAAGAGTGCATTTATTCTATTCCGGTTTATGCGCCATCGAAGAAGTAGATTTAATTCAATTCAGGAAGTTTAAATTAAATTTAGAAAAGTGCGTATAATTTAATATTCCGTACAAGGAAGTCATGTGGTGTACACATAAGATTTTTTTAAAAAAAGATTACTGAGCAGTGCTATAAACGGAACTGAAGATGATATCATTTACCATTTATGTGGCGGATGATAAAGACGTTTTAAAGAGGAAATAGAGAACGATGACATTCACCTGGACTTAACCTGTAGCAGAAAAAGACCTCTAAGACTTGCCAATAAATTAGGAATCAATATTTGGTTAATATATATTAGGATAAGATAAAATGAAAATAATGTTTTTCAATTGTTTAATCTTTAATGTCATTTTTGAGATTGAATTTTTCGCAATCATTTTAAAATGCATAAAAGCTGACTCCCAAACATCAATGGAGAAAAACCTATTGCTAAAATTTCTCAGTTTATACACGGAAATATATGGCAATTGCATGATTTTTTCCCATGATTCTACTTATCTTTACTACTAATAATCAAATTTATGAATACTGCACACTGCATCTGTCACTTGTAATTAACTTAGGGTTAATACGGAAAACTTCGTTCTCGAAATACATGCATACAATTTTCTGACGCTTATTATAAAATTACTTAGTATAAATTTATCATAAAATTTAAATTATTATAAATGCTTAATAGCTATTATAGAAAACGTTCAGTGGTAGAGAAAAAAAGAGTTTATATAGTTTACCTATTATGTATTACATTATATGCATCTATTTTATATTTATCACTGTTATTACTCATGCCTGTATCACTTTATCTGCTGCCTAAGAAGACGCTCTCTGGGCCTTGTTCAGTGAATGTTTTTAATGTCCTCTATGCACATAAAAGCCCTAAAACCCTTTGGCAAAACGTCAGATGTTAAGCAAATGGTTTCATGTTGAAACTTGTCAAGCTAATACATATGTTAAGCATCTGCTGCATCATTCACCCTAATCTTTCTTCCCATTAACTTAAGCCTAATTTCTTTGATATTAACTTTAATTGTTAGTAATTGTATAGAAGTTCCAAGATTGAGATGATTGGAGAAATCCTGATGACTGTACAGACACTTCCTAGAGTTTTGGATTCAGTTTCATCTCGTGTCAATAAAACAAATCACAGAATACAAGTTGAAATGCTGTAAAAATTAACAGTCTGTGTTTAAATGTATAAAATTATACAAATGCTGAATCATTTTGGAAAACAAGAGAAATTCAAGAGAGGTGCAATTTTAATAACAAACCGAATTAAATAATAATCTTCTAAAGAATACTAAATACCCATTAGTCACCAGGTAATCATTGTACGACTGTTGTACATATAATTTCATAGTAATAATGAAAATCTTTGTGGAGTAGCCACAAACCTCATACTTGTAAAAATTCACAATATCTTATAGAAATATACATATATTTAAAGCAATAGCAATAAAACAAGATATGCACGTAATTGAAAAACATATGACATTTTTCATCGGCAAGATCACGCTTGTCTATGCATTTTTGCTGATAAGGGCACTAAGAAATGAATAGTTTCAAGCTTCGTGTATGCGAGAAAATGGATCTCCATTTTTCAATCGAGTAAATTTTACCATTTATTTTCTTCGAATCGTTTCTTGCCCGGTTAGAAATAGTAGTCGAGACACAGAAACTGCAGCTCTGATTTTCAGAAATGTTCCCTAAATTCTGGACTCGATAATTCGAGTCAGAAAATTTTCTTCTTATTTCCTTCCATTCTGCCTAAGTTTTATCGTTGGGCTTCTCCCCTCTGCAATGAAATGTTTTTATATATGTATAGCTAGAAACAGATTTATGACGTGAGGAGGCCGATATCATCCAAACTTTGGGGATCTCTCATCTTCAGACGCAGAGTATGTTTACTGTTTTTTTAGGAATTAAGAACTTAGATACCTCTTGTAGAGGATACAGGTGAAAACATACCGGATGAAAACGTCGAGGAGAAAACTACGCAAGGCGAAAACGTCGCCATGCAAAAAATCAACAAGAAAGAAAGCAAGGAGGAAACATCGTGCTACGAAATGTCGTCAAAAATAAAGCGATTTAAATATTTCGCAGTTTAAAAGCATTGTTGTCGAAAATATCGTAGTAAAAATTAAAGCATCCACAAATCATCGCATGACGATAACGTCGCAGACATGTGTTTTAAGACTTTAAAAATTCGCATATTTCGCATAATGATTTGTGACCACTAGGAAGAATGAGAAATGTTTTTACTTTTATTTTTTACATTTTTTAATTAACTAACAAATGTTTGCTGAAAAAATAAGAAGGAAATTTAAGCATTCAGAGACTGAAAATGAGTAGAAAAATAATTCTAGGTGTAGCAGTTAATAGAATGTTAAACTTTTGTAATTAACTAATAAATGACATGTATATTTCTTTTAATGTAGGACCATCTTAATAAAATCTGCCCTAAGCTATTATATTGCTCTGAAGTCTTTACATACATCAGTTCTCTCAACTGTAACAATAAATTGGCCAAAATAATAGGCCTAAATAGTCGTGAAGCCCTTAGTTGAAATGTTTTATGACTGTACTTCTTTGATGCATATTATTTTACCCATTTTCTATTTTCAACTAAATTTTGCCTTCTGCACATCTCTTTCATTTTCCCCCTTTAATTTCTGTCTGCCTTTAAATTTTCACTTTAATCCTTGACTCGCTATTTTGCTCTACTATAATAAGGAACGTTCAGACGTCGAGTGGAAATTTGCGAGAAGTAAATTATGGATGAGTTATTTTGAAGATGGCTCAACAGTTCCTCCACCTTTCAACATATTTCCAACACCAAAACTTTTAAGACGATTTTTAGTATGCAAGGAGAAGCCAGCATCAATGTCGCTTAAGGTGAGATTTTTTTTATTATTATTATACACAGTTTCATAAAAATATTACTGAAATGTTGTACTTAAAATTTGAAAATAAATTTGTGTTCCCTATTAGAGGAAGCATAAATTTACAGTAAGTAAGTCAAATATTTCGAAAAGTCATCTGACTTCAAAACTTCAAATTATCATATTTTCAAATGAATATTAGTTTACTACAACATTAATATTTAAGATTAATTTTATGTTAAGTAACTGCACAGTGCTTCAGGATATTTAATATGGTTTATATCCCGTTGAATTTTATTACGAAAATGTGAAAACTCTTTGCGTAAAATTGTGTCCTTTTTTTATGTCTGAAGTGTATTATAAAGTATTTTATGATTTATAATACACAAAATTATTGACATTTTTTGCTTCAAAAAATTTAAAAAACAACTTTATATTGATGCGATGAATATTTGCTTTCTTTTTAATTTAATAGAACCCTAATCTCTTTTACGTTTTTTTAATATTTAGTGCATTATAAAGTAAAGAACTTAAAACTTAAATTTTAAATTTCTTTCCTTTTCATTTATAATTATGTATCCTTTCTCACTTATAATCATTTATTATTGTGCTAATTTTGTAATGTGTAGTTTTTTTATCTATAATTTATATAATTTAGAGTATTAAGTCTTTTGAGGAAACGCTGATTTCGAAGTGTACAATTGACTAACATATTGCTACATCTGCTTCACTGAATAATTAAGCTAATTTTATCATTCAAATATACTTAATCAACAGGTTTATTCTGTGCAAAACTATTTCTATCATAAGTATACTTTTTATATGCCCGAAAGTTTCCTTTCCTGAAACAAATTCTATGTTTTTCAAGATTCATAAACAACCCAGTTGATAAAGAATATTAGATTATGAAAAAAGAATTCCATGTTTAGTCAGAGTAATAATTCAGAATAAGGTTAAAACTCTTTTTATTTCAATGTTTATGTCTTTTTGTAACTAATAATACATTATAATGCAACTAAACAAGAATCTATTAGAAAGTAAATTTTAAAATCATGAACGAAATTCGAAGTAACAGTTCTTTACAGGAAGACTTCGAGCTTTAATCCCAAGTCTTATGGGCCTTGGATTTAATCAGATCCTAGAAATGAAAATTTTATAAGAAAGACTTAGAGGTAGTACCTTTGCGCAACATTCGCAGATAAAATTTAAAGTGTTTCAGGAATCTTGCAAATAATTTTCTTGTTATTCTATACATTGCATGATAACCATGATGTTAATATAGTTAAATGCAACTTATGAGCTGATAAGTTGAATTTTTTTACAGGTAAAGGAGGAACAGGAAAGGGACTTTAAATATAGGGTAAGAAACTATAAAACATTTTTTATTATTCTGCAACGATTCCTATTCAAAAACAAAATGTTATAAATTGTTCAAACAATGAATAACTGGCAACTGAAATATAGCATTTAAACTAGATTTTTTTAAAAATTTCTTTCGATATATCTTACTTATGCGGACAAGTAAACTCTTCTTTTATTACATTTAGTAAAAATAATTTGAAATGAAATTTTTAAACTGACTTGTTTATAAATTTTATAAACATGCAAGTCATTAACGTAGTTACAGATATCGTTAATCGAAACTGTTGTTATCCAAGGCGCAATTTCCTACACGTATAATAATGGTAATCGATTAATTCTTTCAGGCATAGTGAAACAACAACCATAGTGCATGTAAAATATACGAATAAAATTTCTCATTTGCCACAAAAATTTATCATTAACGAAATGAATATTTCCCGAATGCTGTTTTGAAACGTCAGTCTTCGTCAGAAGGACAATTTGGCTCACCCCAGAGTTTTTGATTGATGGGCCTATGAAAAACACGTTTAGGGTTAACTTTTCCCGCTTCTTTATAATTTTTCTGAAAAATTCGAATAGTTCCCATTTAACAGATTTGCATATTAAAACACCAATATTAGAATAAAAGACATTGAACTTCTTGAATGCTCGGGAATTCTCTGAGTGGTAGCTAAATATTGGATTTGCCGTGCAGTCTCCACTTGCATTTGCTGCTAAAAGCAATGTTAATCTGTCGTTGATTGTTTATATCCCAGGAAATGTTTTTCCTTCTCTTGTTAACAAATGCCTTCTTGGGCATTTTCTTCTAAAATATCCCATTCTCATTAACTGAAGACTTGCCAAGGTAGGTATTCACAATGTTCTATAATTCTTGTTAAGTCACTGACAGATTTACCTGCTGCTGCTTTGACAGCACAGAGAGGTAGCTAGTGGTGCTTTGTCTGCACTAGTTGCCTCTCCGTGTTTAGTTACACTGTGAATTATTCTCTTTTTAAAGTTGTCAAACCAACTTTGGCTACCTTTGAAATCGTCATCAGTAAACTCAGAGTTTGATTCCGGAGTCTTCACTTTCAAATTTTCATAAATCTGCCCAACCTTTCTTGCAGATAGTATTTTGAGATGTAATATACATTTGTTTTACTTTGCTTCGAATTAGCAATACATTTTCTATTTCCATCAAAAGAAGACCTCGGAGATTCAACCTTGAAGTTCGCTTAGAAATCTCAGCTACCATAAGTTCTCCTATCTTAGCCAAAATATTTGATATTATAGAATAGCTAGTTTTATACTATATTCAACCTAACTGCATAAATTTCATTTTCTCAATATTTTGCTATGATTTCTTTCTTCTGATCAATGCAGAAAATTCCTTCCCATCTCCCGCTAGCTCTCTTGTTGGTAACAAGGTAAAAAATTCAATTTGTTAAACAAAGATACGCAATTTATTCTTACAAATATGTACAACACTAAGATAAGTAATACAAAGAACATATAAGATACAACACTAACCGTTACCGTTATACACATTCATAGCAGCAGATTATCTCGTCTTAAAGTGGCTTTTATGTGGTGTAAATGTGGTCGAAACTTGGTTTTAAGTCTCTCGATACTATGCAATATACGGGTTATATCTGGAACACATTAATTAACCAGCTGATATAAGGATTTTTTAAATTACTCGACAGCCGCTAGATGGTCCTGAAACAAAATCAAATTAATACCGTATTCAATTAAAGAGAAAGTATACCATTTAATACATAAGTGTGTTCAAGGAACATTGTTATAGGTATGAATATTTTGTACAATATAAATACGATTTTCTCAAAAACTCTCTGCCGTCTGTGCCTATATATAGGGGTTTTCCTCACGTTTCATCGAAATCCGCCACCAGTTCACGATGCTTCGTAAATCAAAGCCTGCGTCGTTACCCAAGGCATACTTTACTTGCGGTAACTCGTCGTTAAACAAGTAAGCCGTTAACTAAGGCCGTCATTAACCAAGGTACCACAGTATTAGGTATTTTTATAACATCGCAGGCTGTTTTAAGCATAAATTTATTCATTTTATTTCCGATTTTATTAAAATAACTTGAAAAACTTTTCTTTAGTCTAAAACGTAAGCGCAGCAAAACGGGGAATATTATCCCATGTTCACAGCCGCCCGGACGGTATATTGGTTAGGGAAGCCTATTGCGATGCTGAGGAGCCCGGGTTCGAATCCCGGAGAAGGCATGGCTGTAATTGTCCGTCCCTTCGTAGGAGGTAACAGTGGCCCACCTATTAGATGCTCCCACAATAAAATAGCCATCACTTCTGCATTTGTAGTGGCCAAGCCTAAGTCGGCTATATGCCCGTCAATGAGGGGAATCTTAGATTCATTAACGGCAGATCAGCGGCCTATTGGCTAAAGCGATGAAACTGAGGTATGTTTGCTTTAATATGGATGGAAAGCAGACACTTTCTTTGCATTCTGGTGCAGCTGTTATTAGGTCGTAACATCGACGCCAGCAAACCACTCGGCAGTCGCGAGAACATATACCTGCTTTGAAGTTGTCTTCGTTTCTGTCATCTGCAAGAACAAGCCAATTGGCTGTTAGAAGGCAAACTGGAAAATCATGTGTTGGCATGTAACCTTAATGTGTTTTGTCATAATCAAATAATCCAGTCTATTTCACGCGCACTGAATTTAATTTTAAATCGTTTTTATGTATTTAAGGATTCCTTACACAGATTTTTATCTGCAGCTTTAGCACGTAAAAAAAAAAGGGGGGGGGAGTCATAGTACCTCCCAGCATTTATCTCTCTAATAGTAATATTAACGACGTAAAACAGAAATTATTTCAGACTCAAAATGTTAAACTATTTTAACAGAAGTGTTTAGCAAGAAAAAAAATTACGCTATGATTTAAGTATTAAACAATTATTGCATCTGTAGGACAAAATTAAAAACGTTTTCGATATTTCGAGAGTTCTGCAGTTGTATTCTTAAATTATAAATTATTTTATACTAAAATAGGATCCTTTTATGTATATATCTAATTTTTGTTTGCATAAGTGGTACATTAAATAAATACCAAACTTTCAAGAGAATGAAGTAAAATCAAATTGGTTACCAAAAACCATTCGTTAGCCGCACAAGCACATTCACATAAAATAAATAAATAAGTGAATAAATTTTTAAAGGATTTTTTAAAATTTATTGTTCAGAAATCATGAAAATATCAGATTTTTCTTTCTTTTTTTCGCAATTTTAGAATATCATATCATTTCAGAATAGCATATAATAAGTATTTAGGAACCTAAATACTTTTCAATTACTTATTTCATAATTTGGAGCAAGCTTTTAATTTTTTGTATATGTCTATTCTCTTTTAGTCTGTGATGAGGTGTTTGATCCGACGGTATGTAACAACTCAGCAACGAAAAGCAGAAGAAACTGGCGTGACGGAAGATGATGTGAATGAAGTGAAGCAAGCGGTGACGAGCTTTAGAAGCGAGTTGTTCGACATACTCAGAAAGAATGGCATGAAAGGTGTTGTCAGTGCTTCGGAAACATGTAAGTATTGAACTAAAAAAATAGATATCTAAACACAGTAAATATTTATGTAAATGTTTCGTAAATACTTGCGCAAGATTTTATCGTTGACCAGTAATCGAGCTTGTGATATCAGTTACGTTCTCTCAGGCCACTAAGCTGTTTTTCCCATTATTTCCGTGCTTAAGGATCGTCATGTCGATAACACGTTCATTTTAACTCAAATGCAAAATCCGATCATTTGTTCATTTCGAGTCAAATGAGTAATGATTCAGCTGAGCATAATTTATATCAGATCCTGGTGAACGGCTCGAAATGGAGAAGTCTTCCATTCGTAAATGAATATGAAGTTGTCCATCTACGGCACAGTTTTTTTAGAAAGGTCTGCACGATCTCGGAATTTTTTAACTATAATTATCGAAATATTTGGTAGTTAAAAATTTAATAAAAGCATTCAAAATCGAAAATATAAATTTTTATTAAAGTTCGTGAAACATATTAAAATGTTGCACGAAATCGCACGATTTCGAGAAACTTAATTAATTACCATTGCATTAATATGTCTTTGCTTTGATTCTGGTTTCCGCTTAGTAAATCGAGAGCCCTTACAAGAATTGATTTTGAAAATTCAAAAAAACACTCTAATTAGGAATTAAGTACAGATAGTTTCCAATTCTATGCCAATCTGTCTTTTGACGCCAATTTGAAAAACTTTTGTTGAGCTCATTCTTTCACTGAGGAAGAGTATTTGAAATACATCAGATTAAAAATTCTTAGTTTTAAAAATAATAATAAAAAGAAGGCCTCCCCCTAAAAAACAAAAACAAAAACAAAAAAAAATAAATAAATAAAAAAATAAAAAAAAAAGGTTAGGGTTTGATGGAGATTACATGTGAAAAGAACGGCTTGGAAGAATAAATTAATTCCTTACAAGTGCATTCAAAGCTTTCCTCTGCGAATGTTATATTAAGAATCATAGGAAATATTTCGAAATACACTCTTTAATAGAATTATAAAATTAAAAAAAATATATGTCCTATATTTCCAGAAAGAATTAACTTTGCTTCCCTATTTAAAAACCGTTCTACGGGCATATTCGACTTCTTTTTCGATATTACTTAGTAGTTTGCTTTATATAAAAGACATTAGAGCCGGGACAAGGGTTAGCCAAGCGAGGCACTTGCTTCAGGTAAATCACTAGAATGGGCGTCAAATTGGTCATACGAATTCAAAAATTACTTTAATTATGTTTCTAAATTTGTCAATTATTATTAGGAGCAATAAGCTTTAGCAAACTTAAATTAATAAAACAATAGGAAAAATTGCAAGAAAGTCTGGTAATTAATGCAATGTGCCTTTCGATGTTATTTCTTGTTTATCAAAAAAGAATTTTTCAACATTTTCATTTGAAAGTTATAAATAATTGGCTATATTATTTTTCTGAATTTATTAAAGCTACGGTTAAAAAATACTTTAAGAATGATGGTATAATTTTGGTATAAGTATTATGATATTTTGATTTAATACATTTACATTTGTTTCATGCAAACACGGAGAGAAAGGTTTTGGTTTGAGTAAAAAAGTTTCAGTTCCCAATTATTACGTCATTAGCGTTGCGCAGGTCATGCAAAAAGGAATGATCTATAAATGACGCATTCGAGAGAAGTTGTTACGATTTTTAGAATCGAGAGGAAGAATTAAAGAGTTTACCGTTAGTTTAAATTATAATTTTTATTCACACACATATATATATATAGGGGCGCGCATTTACCTTTTTTGCCTCAGGTGAAAAAATATTTTGGCACGGCTCTGCAAAACATTATTCTTCATTTGGCTCCAAAGAAACCACTATACCCCTAAATAACTTCTTTCATTCGCACGTTTTCAATATCTATCACGTGCTACAAATTTTATAACTTTCAGACAGGCAGCCCTTGAATTAGAGTATAATTACACCCATCCGGTATTAGCTTTCATGCATATGAGGAAGAATATTAAAAAAAAATTAAGCGAAGGATTTTATTCAAAATCGAACCTTACCAATCTAAAAGTAATCCGAACTTGAATTATAATAAAAAAAATTTTTCAAAACTCTTGTAGGCTGATAAATTAATAAAATATAATGCTTGAATCTCATCTTTGAATTTCCTACAAATTGGCTTCTTAAATAAAATTAATTGAAATGTAATACTTAATGACTGATAGAAGCGCATGATAGCAATGATGTTACAAACTAGTTTGCAAGGCCCACCAGCGGCCGAGTGGTAAAAGCCGCTGAACACTGTTAGTTCGGTTCGGAATTCGAGTTCCGGCAAACGGGCTGCCTGCATGGGCGTTTTCGTGGTTTTCCCCGTGTGTATCGTGGATACGAGCCAGTTTCCTTAAAAAAACCTCCACCGGGCATCCCTCCCTTTCCGGGCGGAGCACGTAATAAGTAAAAGAAAAAGAAAAACTATTTTGTAAGCAATAATTAGCAGTCACTCAATGCACTTACGAAATTACTAAAAGTATTTAAGTCATTCAAAGATTGGCTGTCTCTAACTATGTGGTGATTAGCAAACTCACTGCCGTTGGGGTCGACTTCGAATCCTCAGGTATGAACCGTTGGGACTACAGTGGCGTTGAGGAATAAAGGTACTACTTAAAAAATAACGTGATCCGAGAGTCCTAGAAAGGCTGGCGAAAGGGAGTGGGGATGAGAGACTCGGTTTTCATCACTTAAGGTGCTGTCACACAAACTGGAATTAAGTTAAGCAGTTAGGTCTCGTGTTTCTTACCTCAATGAAATAAAAAAAATTTAAAAAAAAAATAGCATAGTGTTAGCGCTTGTGATCTTGCATAGTGTTAACGCCTGTGCTCTTACATAGTGTTAGTATGGAAGTTTCGAATATGGCAGTGTATGGAAGTTTCGAATATGGTAGTGTAATGACTTAAATGAGTCAGTTTATGATTTTTTGACAAGACAGCAGTGTGTTTGTGTTAAAAGGCAAGCTTAAGACAGCAGTGTGTTTGTGTTAAAAGGCAAGTTAGCTTTCTGCAGTCTACCACCTACTCTAATAACTTGAGATTCATCTAAAAAGGGACATAAAAATTTTAACTGACTATTTTTACCTACTTCCCTTTACTTACTTAACTCCTTGAATCCTCAGGAAAGCTTTGATGTTGGACTAAGTAATTTATTTTCGCTTAACGAAACCTCATCTACTGTCAGATGACATACTTGTTTTTCTTTGGATCTATAATTTCTTATAAATCTTAAAACATAAGCAAAAACATTAGTTAACTTAGCATAACAATTAGTAATACTAAAAACATAATCCAAAAGAGAATTGTTAACAGTTATTGTCAAATTTACATTAGAAATAAGTTTCAGTTCTCGCACATAGTTGTCATTTTAATTTTCCAAGCTATTATTAACACTATTATAATTAATGACCTATTGTTGCAGAGAATTTGGTCCTTGAAATCATAAATAGTTGTCAACAATAATTTCCGGGCTCAGACCACGAGAAATTAGGTCAGCAGGATTGTCTGTGGTTCTGACATGTTGCCAGAAGAAATCCTTAGTTAGTTCTTGGATACGAACTATTCTATTTGACAAACATTTTTAGAAGATGAGGAGATGTAGCAATCCAGGCTAACGCAATTGTTGAATCCGTGTACAGAATAACTTTGTCAAAATATAAACTCAAAGATGTTATTATGTTATTACCTTACACACAAGTTTGGAAAGGAGCTCTGCTGCACACAACTCCAGACGAGAAATTGTTATTGCTTTGATAGGTGATACTCGAGATTTGCTGCAAAGTAAAGTCACTTTAACTTCACCAGTTTCAGAGACACAACGCAAGTAAATTACCCTACCATATCCAAACTTTGAAGCATCAGCAAAACAGTGGAGCTCAATTTCTTTAGTTGATTCTATCAGAACGTAATGAGGGACTTTGATTTGTCTCAACTCTGGTAGGGCCTTTTGAAATGTCTCAACTCTGGTAGGGCCTTTTGAAATGTCTCAACTCTGGTAGAGCCTTTTGAAATGTCTCCCACTCTTGTCGCTCTTTGAAAGGAAGTGGATCATCCCACTCTAGACGTAAAAGCCACAGCCTTTGCAGGAACAGCTTGGCACGCATGATTACAGGTCCTAGGAAACCTAAAGGATCAAACAGTTTAGCAATATGTTATGTTCTTTTATTGAAAACATATTTTAATTAATTTAAAAATTAATAATAGTTGGTGTTTACTAATGACGTGATTATTACTGAAAGCTGTCTTCACCCGCCGTTGGGTCCAAATTCGAATACTTGAAAAGTTATCAATGGCTGGGACTACACAATTTTTGTGGAATCAAGATATTTAAAGTGACTCGATCTAGAAGTATTATAGAAAGATTGGCAGTAGGGAGTGAGACTTAAGAGACTTTCGGGTTTCATCCGTTAAGATGTTCTCATACAACTTAGAATGAGGTTTAAGCAGATAAATCTCGTGTTCTGTGCCTTTATGAAATAATCGAATCCAGTCCCTTCAAATCTATGTAGACTGCGATAATCTTTATTAAAGGCACATTTTTAACAAAAATTTAGCAGACAGCATCTTATTCAAAAAATTAGTAGGTATTTAATTAAGCTTTTTAAGTTTAAAATTTAAAGCAGTTGCAGTCATTTGATTTCAAATACGATGTAAATTTTGATGGTATTAATTCTGAATCACATGCTCATCTTTTGTGCGTCAGGAGATTTCCTAAACTATTAATGGAGAAGGCTCGTAAAACATAAGATACGAAAAATAATCAACAATTAAAATGTGCCTTATCACTTTAGGAGTAACAATAAAGTGTTATCCATTAAAAGATAACTGTAATATTTCCTTTTTTTTTTTTTTTTTTTTTTTTTTTTTTTTTTTTTTTGTTTTTTTTTTTTTTTTTTTTTTTTTTTTTATATATATAAAAACAAAGTGAATTTCCACTTTTTTTTTTTTTTTTTTTTTTTTTTTTTTTTTTTTTTTTGCAGTGAGTCGCAAAGAACGACTGAGAGAAAGGCGGTTGTTGAAAGATTTCAATATTGACTTGGTAGAAAGTGTTATGGAAGCATTCATGAAAGATTCTGACACCAAAAACAAATTCGGGCTCATTCGTCGCTTAACAGGAAAGAGAGAGAATGCGAAGAAAAACTGGAATGCTATAGTAGGAGCAGCTCGATCCAGGCAAAATCCAATCGGTAGAACAAATTCCGTGCACACAAGCGGAAGCATCAAAGAGCTACGTGACAAAGTTTTTCAAGAAGAGGAACTTCCAAGAGCTAGAGGAGTTAGGAGATTTGCAGCTGCAGCCAGAAGAGTTTTACACGATCAAGCTACAAGAAGTAACATGTATGAGAATACGAACAGCATAGCATCTATCGAAGAAGAAGTTCCTGGCACGTTCTCAGCCAGTGTAACGCCTAGAAACTCAGTACCTCAAGAAGCCGTAAGCGAGGAATCAAGAAGGCAGTCCACAGATGAATCTAGTCACTCAAAATCTAATTTACAAGTTCATAAGCCAGAAAGTGCTGTTATAAATTTAGAAAATACTCAAAGTAGTGGTAGCTCATCAGGTGCGGTACAGTCTCCGAGTTTGAAGCAAGGTCCGAAGGTTCAAGGACTAATTTCCAGGTTTGATCCATCCGAAGAAATTACAGCTTCGCCAGAAATACGCAGGCATTCGGCTCCACCAACTGATGGAAAGAATGCAAGTGAGCAACTATCGCAACGGAGAGGTGCGAAGGTTTTCCCTAAGACTGATGAAAATGTAGGATGGCTGTGAATGCACTTTTTGTCTGTATTTTAATAAAGATATCTAGAAAACTAGAATATTTGTTCGAATACTGAATTTAATGTATACTTTAACAACCTAAATACATCAGATCTTTCTACAAAAGACGATGATGATGATTCGTAGCTCGGTTTAAATTTTAAGTTTCAAATGTTTTCTTTTCGGATTATTACGAGAACTATAAATAAGTAAATTGCTGAATTTTTTGTTAAATAAAATGTTTAAAAATAAATGCAATTTTAATTTTTTAGGTTCATGTACATTAATAACATTAGCAAAAATAAATAAGAAATAAAACTCATTGAGAATGATCTTGAGCAGTATTAGTTTCATTAATATCTTACACTGCCCAGTTTACTAAAATAATAATAATAATAATAGATCTATTATTTCAAATCAGTTTTTTGGTAATCTGTTAAAAATAACGTTTCCGAAAAATGTGAATACGTGAAAAAATATTATAGCATAAATATTATTTTATTTTGTCAGTCTTATTTGAAAATGATGAATTTGCATGACCTGTTAATTAAGTATTACTGTGTTTTATTATTATATAAAGTTACTAATCTGCAGCTCTTAATTATATTTATGCTTGCAGTAAGAAGATTTTGATATTGCAATATTTGTTTATTGAATTAAAATAAATTTTGTTTGGTATGAAAGTTGAATTAATAAAAAAAAGCTTTGGATTCAGAGGAACGAAACATGTTTTCGACTCTCATTAATCAACTTGATTTAAGGCTTCAAAACACTTTTCCCTTGACAAGTTCTGTTTGAAGCGTCAAACAAAAGAGATTAAAACTTATTATGTTTGGTTTTGTTATGTGCAAATTTTATGTGTTTTATATGATTTTACTCCTTGAAGTGAACATTACTTGATTCCGATTTTGTAATTTTCTTTAATTTGCGTTCTACACAGTTTATAATATAACCCAGAGAAATTAGGTTGGACCTTCAAAATTTTTCATAGGGAATTTTATTCTTTTTCGTTCCGAATTCTTTTGATATATTGATATATGTAGCATATATATATATATATATATCCGTGCGTGTGTGTAATAGATTTTTGTAGTAAAACACAGGCTCTTGAATCCGTAATGAACAGCGAGAATTTTGATGGCTTAGAGATGTTGAAACTCCGATCCACAATGAATAAGAAATTTGGCAGTCGAAGTAGATTTAATTTAACTTTTATTTCAGCAAGGATATGTTGCGACCACAAACAAGTTGGTACATTATTTATGCCTGTTCCCAAAGTTTACATGTTTGATAAATTTGCAGTAAGAAAGAGGGAGCAGACAGACTGCAGTCCAGCTAGGCCAAAACGTAGAAAGCAAGTGTGTTATGTTCAGAGTGAAATCTTAATTCAGACTGAATTAGTTTAGGTTCTCAATGCATTTTGAATCAAAATGAATTGCCAGAAATACTGCTGAAAAATTAGTATTGGCTGTTTGACTTTTAGTTTCATTTACATCATCAGAATTATGTAAGATACATATGACATGAATTAATCTAGAAATGTCGCAGTGCGGAGAGATTACTGGTTTTTAGAATAGAGAAGGAAAATTAATTTAAATTGCTAATTTAATCTTTTATATATTCTTTATTTTTCTTACATATATATATATATTTCGACAATAAGTTTATTGTATTTTTAAAGGTGTTAATATGTGATTAGAAGCAGAATCATTTAAGAATGCAGTATAATGAATTATAAAATTTATAAATACGAAATTTTAGAATATTAGAAATTGAAATTTTTGACAAAACGTAAGAATACACTACAATGGATAAGAGTTAATGATTTCTTTTTTTACAATATACGTTTCATCATTCTGATATGCTTCAGTTATGTTGTGATTTTTAAACAAAAGAAATGATTAAAAACTATATTGTACCACAACAGAATGTTGAAAAAAAAAAAAGGAAAAAGGAGGGAACTATTTAAAATTAATAATAAACTGGACGTCTCTGCGAGGAAAAGAGGTTGCATGGTCCCGTTCACTTCTCCGGCTATTCAAGATGTATTTAAATTCAAATCCAGTCAGAGGGGGTGAGCCTGTGTTGATATCTGTTTCGTATTCGGTCGGATGTAGAAAGTTAATCCCTTAATGCTCCCCATCCCTGAATGTGGGGGTTGCGTCACCAAAGCGGGATTTTACTACATTAGTGCTTTCGTTCGCTTGAGGTCGCGCATCAAGGCATTGATTAAAAAGGAAACTGGCATAAGCGTCAGGGCTCTGAATAATAAATCACCAGCTTATTGCTCTGAATTCAACGTAATTGAATGGCACAATAATAAATTTTAGTTACTTTGGGTGTTAAAACTAAGTGGGCATTTGATCTTCGCTCTTACGTAGAATTTACATAGAATTTACAGTTCTACTAAAAATTTTGTAAGAGCGAAGATCGGGTGCTCGCTTAGTTTCAAGGACTTTGCGGTCATATTTCTTTTATTCGAATCATACTTTATAGAGAATTGCAGTATAATTAATTTTGTATAATTACCGTCCAGACTTTCTGGGATAGTTAACCTTCACTATTTCTCTACCTGTAAATTTACGTCTTATAGATTATGTCATTCGGAAATAAACTTCGAATTAGAAGAATATTTACACATCCTACTGAATAAGCTTACTTTCCTAAATCTGAAGAACGTTTTTAAGGATTTGCTTTGCGGTGGATGACATCACCCATTTCATGCCTGTGCATGCTTTTGTTCGAAAATGGCGGATTCAGGGAAAAACAAGATGGCGGCGTAAGGAAAGAACCAACCAAAACTCTGAAAAATAATGTCATGGCTTCTTGTCAACATTTTTTCAGACAAAGGAAAAAGTTTCTTCGTGGGTGTAGAAAGGTAGTTTTCTCATTTCATTGCAAAACATAGACGACTGTACTTCGAGGCAGTCACTCTTAACTCTCAGCATACTCACTATGACTGAAAACAAATTTGACAATCTGTTTATATTGTCCTATTTTAAAGATTTTCATAACAAAGAAAAAGCAGATTCCTTCTTTACGGAATTGTGTGCTCATCCCTTCCGTCCCTTAAACCTGAATATTTACGGACGGCAATACGTTCCAGCTCGACTTTGCTGCTCCTTCGGGGATAATGATGGACTCACCTATAGTTTTTCGGGTACGTCGGTCGCCGCCCAAGCCCTGGACTCCTACGCTGCAGAAAATTAAAAATGAAGTTGAAGCACTCACCCACGAAAATAATTACGTTCTGCTCAACAAGTACCCTGACGGAAAAGCCAAGATCTCCGCGCACAGAAACGCTGAAAGGACGCTAGACCCTTCGTGCTGCATTCCCATGTTGAGTTACGGTTCTACGTGAGTGATGAATTTTACGAGGGAGAATTATATGACTCATATTCTAAGTCTGGAACACGGATCACTTCTAGTGATGAAACCCCCTACGAATGTAGTCTGGAAACACAGTATCCCATCCCAGCCCCAAGTGAAGACTATTCGATTCTGACGTTTAGAAAAATTTTACTTGCGCAAGTGAAGCGTTCGTTTGATGAAATGGAATTTAATTATTACGATGACATGATTAATTCCGTAACCTCAACACCGTGTATGAATAAAAAGATTTTTCCGCACAAGAAAAGAACGTTTAGAAGATGAGATACTCAAGATACCCTAGAACGACTGGCTGAGTCGGCACGCAAATTCACGCTTATCATCAAAAATATTTCGCTCTGCTTCAAATGACGAAACTTTGCTGAAGCTTGATTCTTTGCCAAAGAATAATGTTTCATTTTCGGAGAAGATATTTTTGTGACTGTATCGTGCTTCTTTGGTTTGATTCGTGTTCACGTGACTGATGAGACTGATGTGAATGATGAGAATGAACTGCTACATCCTACCAAAGATGGAGTTTCGCTGTTTCCACTAGTATAGAAAATAATTTTGCGATCATGCAAATACATTTGCTTCCTTTGAAGGTTCTGTCATTGTTCCGATTGTAAAGAAAGATGTGTGCCTTTCGAAACAAGATGTCAACGACGAAATAATTATATCACTACAAAGATTGTTTCAAAGAAAAGAATTTTGACTGAAATTCGTACCGGAACGTACAGTGTTGAGGAAAGAACATTTTACTTAAACTGGATTCAAAATATAGCAAAATATGTGCCGTTATGAAGGAAAATCTTATATTTCTAAAACTCTTAACTATTTTGTGAGAAAACGGTTGGTGATATACAATTTGAACGTGAATATGCTGGTGATGCAGACCGTCCAAATGGATTTCATTAACTGCAGGACTCTTCCTGTAAGTGTATTGAAAAATTTAATTCTAACAAAATTATAGACCTTTTTGTGTGTTTTGGTTGCCAAGTAGTTTATAGCAATCAGCTTGCGCTTGAATGCTTATCAATAAGCCGTGTATCGAAAAATGTGAGCATTAATTTTGATCAAGCTTTTTACAGTTAATTGGACTGAGATAGCAAACGACTTGATTTGTCAAAATAAATGCAATATAAATTTTAGTAAACTAAATGTTACTGATGAATTTTTTGGATGTTATTAATACAAATGATGTACTGACTAATGCTCAAAGTTTGTTGTAGGTGAAGAAATTGAATAGTACTTTTTGAAAAGAAATAAATACCAGATTTTATATTATTTTTTGCTTATAATTTTTTTCCTTTGTCAAGAAATTTTTTGTTTAATTTTTTTTATCTTACTTAGGTTTTGTAATGACCTAGTACAAGATTTTATATTTCATCGAAAAAATATACAAAAGTTTATGCTCCTAATAAGTGGGATTTTCTTAGCGTGTATTTGGGTATTGGATATTTCATTGCAATTTCCCCCAATAACGCTTGGGACCATCTAATAATATATAGCATAATTATGCTTATTTTTTAAAAATCCTAACTAAAAGTTAATTAAATGTTAAAATTAGGTTGAATTAGTATTAAATGTATCTAAAGTGCTGATTGTACTATTTGATTCATGATGATTCATGAAATGATTCATGATTTTTGTGTGTATACTAATAAAGGGAGCTTCAGTTTTCTCCACT